ATACTGGTCTGTGATCTGTGATCGGTCTGTCCCGGATTTCATCCACCATCCGCACAAGGTAAGCCTGCGAGCGAAACCCGTCAGTCTGATTCAAATGGCCCGCCGCCGGGTGCTCCTGGCACATCTAGTCATGCCACAGCCCAACCCAGGCTACCCCCGCCCTCAATAACTCTACACAACCTTGCCTTCGGAGGCTGTTCAAACGCTTCCACTCGTGGCGATGTGCTGCCCCCCAACTACCTCGCCCTCACGCATCTCCCTTATTCAGAGCCTTCGCCCCTCGGAAGATCACCACGCTAACAACCCTCTCTCTAGACAGCACAGTCTTTATAAACTCAAAGTCACCTTCGTCTGACGCGGAGAATCGTCCGAAAACATATCCCAAGCTGGCTATCCACGCAGGGATCCCGACTATTGCTAGCGATTTTCTTCGCCGTAATATGAGGTCGCCTATTCCGGGCGAGGTAATGGACATTGGCAACTTGATGAATCAAAGAGGTGCCGCCGCTATGCAACACATTCACAACGGATCTACTCCCGAACGTCAAATGCATCAACTCCCCCAACTCACCGCGAGAAATATGCCCGAACCACCTATGGACCGTGCCGGCTCTCCTCACGGATCCGAATACTCTCAACACTCCCGTCACACAATGGAAGGCGTCCCGCGTTCCTACCCGTCACCCAGCGCCATGGTCGGCGCTCCGATGCAGATGCAGATGCCTGTCTCCCACATGGGACCAGGTCCTGTAATCTTGCCCGGAATCCCTCAGCATGATATGTCTCAGGGCATGCCTCAATACAAGGCACCCGAGCAACAGGCTCCTCAGCAGCCCACCAAGGCTTACCCGTGCAGCACATGCGGCAAGGGCTTTGCTCGCCGAAGTGATCTTGCCCGTCACGGTATGTTGTCCATGAAGATTTGTAATGATGCATCGCTGACTTTGCTTCCAGAACGTATCCACAGCGGAATCCGCCCTCACGTCTGCGATTTCCCCAACTGCGGAAAGCAGTTCATTCAGCGATCTGCTCTTACCGTTCATCAGCGAGTTCATACCGGAGAGAAGCCTCACATGTGTGAGCGCTGTGGCAAGGTAAGCTGTCTCTACATCGAGGAACTCTCTCTGTGTGCTAACACACCCCAGCCTTTTAGCGACAGCAGTTCTCTGGCACGCCATCGTCGTATCCACTCTGGAAAGCGTCCGTACAAGTGCCCGTACGCTGATTGTCAGAAGACGTTCACTCGCCGTACTACCCTGACAAGACATCAAAACCACCATACCGGTACGGTAGAAGAAGCCGCTGCGGCTACCGCTGCTGCTCTGGCTGCTCGCGGGGCTACTGGCAAGCCGAACACGACCCGTTCTGACGGAGACGCCATGTCCAACCGAGGGTCGCCTCTGACGACGCCCTCGCCTGGCCAGCGGACCCTCTCCATGTCCCCCAGTGCCGACAGCATGCACCGAGCCAACTCCGAGTTCCAGTACATGGGCAACAGCTCGCTTCCGGTTCACCTGCAGCGAGACATGCATGTTGGCAGCCCTGCATCGACTTCCTCCGGTGGCTACAACACTGGTATGCGACCTACCTCGCACCCTACCAGCTATGGACCGCCTCCGACACTCGAGCCCAGCGTCGAGCAGCACTCCGGCCCCGGCAGTGCTGGCGGTAGCCCTCACATGGGCTCCGTTGGATGGCAGTCTCCGTCGCACGTGCCGTCGCCCTCACACAGCAGCAACGGCGGCGGATACACCTATCCTGACCCCGACGCCTACCCTTCTGCGCCTTCGCTCGGCGGCCAGATGTTCTACGGCAACCCAGCTCAGGTCCGCCGCCCTCAGAGCACCGAGCCTCCTGCTGGCGCCTATGACATTAAGGGTCGTCAAAGCGAGCTGTGGGCAGGTGCTCATTAGGTTCATGTAACACTATCGCTTACCACACTCCTGAAGCCCTTGAGGGTCGCCAGGAATGCGGACGGCTGAAAAGATTTCCTTGGTGTGGATTTATCTTCTTCTTTTTGCTGTACGAAAAGTTTGTGCATGGCAAGGGTGGGGACGGTAAATAACATACAACTTTAATATTGCGGGCTGCACCGGGACAAGGTCAGGAAGATACCAAGGGGCGGGCAGTCATCCGGTTCGTTTTACAACCGCCTTTTCTTTTGTTATCATAGACTGGCGGAAAGCACACTTCATGATGGCTGGGTCTCCATGGGCATTGGCTGGAGGCAAAAAAGGTTGGGAGGAGTTCCCAGACAGGACACGGCGTGCTCTTGAGTAGCACGCCGACGGATTTGGCGGAGACTCGCTCGATAAAGGAACGTGGCTCTTTTCTGTTTTATTTGCAATATTTTGTATGCAACACTGTACTCTGTACTAGACAATGAATGCGCGTAGCAATCTGTTTCTCTCCTCAATCTTTACTTGCGCTTGATGTGTATGCATGTTTCTCCTGGTTCGCAGTTGAGACAGGCGGAGCCAGAGCCGTGAGGCGACCGGGAGAGCTTGAGGACCGATCTCATGTTGGTCAGTGTGTGTGCGTGCATCTGCTTGCCGCGTGCGGCTTGCCTGTGCATCATCGGTGGAGGTGGAAATTAATCTAGATCCCGTTGGAGGGCGATCCGGGGTTGGCGTGTGTCCCACCACGCAAGCTGCACTTGGCCGTGTTGGTTGGTTCTCAGCCGAAAAAAAAAAACAAATGTCGCAAAAGTGGTAGAAAGGTATTACGAGGTGAACAGGTTGCGCGTTGCGCGTTCGTTTTCTCTGGGCAGATGTTACGCAAATGATTGGTAGATGTTGCGCATACTTTTTTTGGTAGTCCCTCGCACACACACTCTTGTGCTTCTGTCAATTGTTGTCTCTTACTCATCACCCATCCTTGACATGGTGAAGCTGCATTCATCAAAGTTATCTATAGGAGGAGGGCTCAGCCGGCAGGCAGTGAATATGCGTGATGGTGTCGAGTTCTGGTTCGGTGTCTTATGAGAGGGCTTTCCGGTTGAGGCTTGTCGTGAGTTTTCCGGGGGCTTGAGGTTTACTATCTTTTTTATTAACCTATCTACCTAAAAGTGATCGTTGTCGATGCCATCCAGTCCAAGAGGTGGTTCTGTGAGATGGGATGGGGTTCCATTCTACTTCGTCATGCTACTTCCTTAAGAAGGTGGGGAGATGAGAGGAATGACATTCAAAATTATAAAATAGTTGGAAGGCTAGGAAAGAGTAAGAGAGTCCTCGGTTTGGGTTAGGTGACGACAACAACGATGGCAGGAGAAGATACCTACTTGGCGGCAACCCGGGCCCCAGAACCGAAAGCGCCGAGGCTCACGAATCGAATCCGAGGCGATTTTCTACTACTCCCGTACTTTCACCTTCTTTTCCGCACGCATACCTTTCCTTTTTCCCTTCATGTTTTAAATGGAATCGGGATTGATGATATAATCGAAAAATCAAAACCCGGCGGGAGCGATGTACATGGCGTCTGTTGCTCCGAGTTCCGTAAACAAGTCAACCTTGGCGCTTTCCGAATTTCTGTGGTAAGCCGTGTGAAAATGATTAGTGAACGTTTTTTTTTTTCTTTGGTCCAGCAAGCAGCCTTGCGTTCGCGTTCAGGTGAGGAGGTAGCCGGCGGGATCCGGTGGGATCTGACATTTTCGGTCTTGAATCCAAGATGATTTGGGGGTTTTGCAATTTGGTTCTGATGGTTAATCTCTCCGGTCATAACGTTATGTATGAACCCAGGGCGATAGGATGCCGTGATGGATCTCGTTCTAGAAGCCCTTTTTTTCTTGCCTCGGTTTCGGGTAGTGGTTTTGTGTGGAGATGAGAATAAGCACGCCCACCTTGCACCGGCGAAATTGGTCATTTTTCGTTTGGATTAGTCGTCGATATTAGAGAAAGAGACAAGAGTACGATCTTGTGTGTGTGTGTGTGTGTGTGTGTGTGTGTGTGTGTGTCTCGGGAGAGGGACGTGGTTTGACGGGAGGACGAAGGAAGGATTATGTATTATTCTCCAGTCTCTCTCTGGTATTTATCCGAGGGTGACACCGTCATACAGGGGTGGGAACTTGGAATAACTAGTTCAATAGTCACAGACAGAAAGAGGGAACGAGAAGGGGGGGAAGTGGCCCTCGCTCTCTCGCGTTCTCGGGAGCGCATTTGTGGTTTATCAACCACCCAGCCCGCTGAGCAAGCTACGAGTCGTTTGATTAGTATTCCAACACGTCTACGTCTGTACTTTGTTCTCTACCTTGGCTTCCAAGATTATCCCACCCAACCCACGCGCCCACCACCCGTAAGACACATGCACACACACACACACACACCATATGCCAACAATGGGATTAGACTGGTGGTGCGAAGCCATGAGATGACGGGGCCAACGGGCAAACCGCCTATTATATATCCGCAAGACGCCGCAAAACCTGTCAGTTGGAACGCAGGTGTAAAAGGAGAACTTTAATACCCACACCTCTTCTTTATTCTGCTTCTTCTCCCTCTCCTGCTGTTTCCCCCGAAGAATTCCAGAAGGTGCCGCAGTTCAGGTTGATCCAAAGCCTCCCTCCACTTCCAGTGTTCCCTGACAGAGTTTTGGAACCGGGACTGTCAAGTTCAACCTTGAAGTGACAAATCGGATTTTCCTGTGGCTTACACTATCAAAGGCGACCATTCGATACAGTTACTTCGCCCTAGGCACGCCCTAGGCGGCACCGAGAGACAAGCGAGAGAAAGGCATAACGAACGCCTTGAGTCTTTTCTCATCATATCGTTTACTCATCAGACATCAAAAGACTTGCTACGTCGATATCGAAATCGAACTCGTCATATTTGTTCGCCTAGCGGTCTGTCATCGTATGGTCTAACGAAGACTATTACATTGCCGCCAATTTTCATCGCCATTCGTCCATCTCACCCTCGACAGTCACAAACCCCTCTTTGTCAGTATAAGTCAGAGTTCGACAACAGCACTTTCAAGAGGCGTATCATTCCATCGAGACAAAAGCAATGACGGTCATCAAAATCGAGGCCGTCACGGACCTGCTATGTCCGTGGTGCTACGTCGGCAAGAGAAATCTCGACCGCGCAATCTCACAATATCGCGCCGTGGACCCTTCTGCCGAGTTCGAGGTCGTATGGAAGCCGTTCTATCTGAGCCCGGCGTTGAAGAGCACAGGTATGTTCTCACACTCTCTTTAGGTTTTCACATGAACATCCATCCCCAATAGCTAACAAGCGTGCGAAAGCCCCACGCACGCTTTTCCACCCTCACTTACACGCAAAACACACCTCACTCTCTTCTCATTTTCCAATTTTCACAACCCCATCTCGAATAACTCAATACCATAACATCAAACCGTTGCAGCAAAAAAAAAAACAGACAAATAGTAAAACAATCCCTCACTAACATACCCCACCACAAAAAAGGCTACGACAAACGCGAAATGTACACGACCCGCTTCTCCCTAGGAGGCGACCTCCCCACCGCAATAGCCCGCGTAACCTCCGTCTGCTCCGCCGCCGGCATCAACCTAAACGTCTCAGGCCGCACCGGCAACTCGCGCCAGTCCCACAAACTCCTACGGCTCGCCCTCGTCTCCAAGGGTCCCCTAGCCCAAGACCGGCTCCTCGAGGCGCTCTTCCGAGGGCACTTTGAACTCGGCGCCGATATTTCTGATAGGAACTACCTCGTCAAGACGGCGGCGGCGGCGGCGGGACTGGATGAAGCTGACGTCGAGGCCGCGCTCGATAGCGATCGTGCAGGGGAAGTTGTCGACGAAGAGGTTGTGGGGGCGAGAAAGGCTGGTGTTACGGGTGTGCCGACGTTTACTGTGCAGGGCAGGTGGAGGGTTGGTGGGAATCAGGAGCCGGATGTGTTTTTGAGGGTGTTTGAGCGGGTCACGGAGGGCCATTGAGTCTAGGTGGTGGTGGTTTTGGGGGATTCTTCCCTTCTGTGAGAGGAGTTTTTGCTTTGCTGCTACATAATTTGGCTATAGCGAGAGGAGGGAATATGATGAAGGAAGGGGATATGCGGCTTGGTGGTTTGTCCTGTCTATTAGTTTGGGTCTTATTTTCTCCCTCAGTGAGGTCAGCGATATGGCATCGCGGTGGCAATAACATCATTCCGCATAGCGCAGCGTCAAAGATTGCAATAATGTTGGATATCCCTCATTCTTCTGTCTTTTGTTTTTGGGGGGTTCTCTCTTAATTCTCTGCATGCTGCATGAGCAAAATGCATGCCCTCTGCATCAACTACGGCACAAAAGTCCATCGTGAACCCGCCCTTCCGTCTATAAGGGAACAAGAACTAGACACGGAAAAAGAGTAGTAACCGGGTCTTTGCTAAATGAAGTGTGTCCGTCCGTCCGTTCGTTGTCTCTCTCCGCCGCCCAAAACCCAAAACGCCGATTCGAAAATGCAGTTCCCTGTATATAAACACCGGGGGTAAGTTTGTGTGTCTACCGCTTCACCATGTGGCTGTAATCCTTGAGCAGATGCTCCATGTGCGTATTGGTCGTCTTGCCGGTGCGCCTAACAGCCCGCTTCTTCTGCTGCTTCTTAGAGTCGACCTTTTTGATAGTGCTAGGATCGGCGCTAGCCGGCTTCTGCCCAACAGAGACGAGCTTCTTGACGATATCGTCAGTGGTGGGGACCTCGACGACGTTCCACATGCGCTTGAACTCGTCGTCGACGTGGTGGTGCAGCGTCGCGTCGTCGAGCCAGATGGCGCGCGGGTGCTGCTCCTTCTTGGTTTTGACGATCAGAATCTTGTGCTCGCGCTCCAGCTCCATTAGCGCCTGGTCGCAGTCGGGCCACCCGTCCTTGAGGTCCTTGACGTTGGTTCCCTCGGCGTCCCGCTTGCTCTGAAGGTGCCGCAACAGCGTCATCTTGTCCTTGACACCGGGGATGATGGGGCGGTGGACGTACGTGCCCGTCCGCCACGTCTGCTCCGACATTCTCGGGTCGGGCACCCACTGGATGCGGGGGTGCCGCCGCATGCCCTCCACGAGCTGCTGTTTGTGCTTGTCGGTGCTGCGGGTCTGGCCCAGGTGGTCAAAGATCTCGGTCGCCGTCTTGGGCTCGTCCTTACCCTTGAGCCACTCCAGGGCATACTGCATCTGCGTAAAGACCTCTTGACCAAAACTAGTGTTCTGAGGCTGCGAGTACACAATTGCGTTGGGGTCGCGCTTCCGCTTGCCCGATGCGGTGGTGTCATTCTTGGATGCTGACGCCGTGCTGCCGACGGACGGGGAGGGTGACGGCGGCGCGAGAGATGTGCTCTTAGATTGCAGCTTGCTCGCGGCCGAGGCCAGCGAGCTGCTGAACATAGCCTTCTGCTTTTCGAGAAGGGAAGACATGATGGGCGATTTGGAGGGTATTCGGTGTCGTACTTGATGGTCTTTGCGAAGCTCGTGGCTTTCGTTGCGGGATAGTCGTTGACGGGCCGACTCGCTCAGGACAAAGTCTAGGAATAAATATGATGAGCTTGGTGGCCTCAGGAAGAGATCCTATCCAGAACCTTGCGCGAGAAGGTGTAGTCGTAGGTTGATTTACGACGTGACTGGCCGAAAGGTGGTAGCTATACTGAGCATTCGACGTATCTCCGGCGCAAATCGTAGCGCAAGTGGACCGCTTGCTTCTGGACCCAAGGATTGCGAGAACCTTCCCAACGTCACGGTATTCCACGCGGCGGATACGTATGGCCTCTAATCGAATGTGCGACAGGTCTCGGTTTTCGTTGGCGTCGTATGAAGCTGGACAATTTCCCCCGAAAGCCGACCTGTGATGCTCAAAGGCAACCGCGTTGAAGACCGCCTTGCCGCAAGGAGATGCTGCCAGAAGAGGCCCTTCTCAATATTTCCTCCTTCGTCTCAGCCAAATCCAGCTCCTTCGTTGCAACCCAAATCGATAGTCGCTCGCGCTTTGCAACGTTGTCGTCCTTTCTTGCAATCGCCGAGCTTTCCAGCTTCAGCCTCCAAAGTCGCCGACCGTATTCCCTCGAGTCGATCGCTGTTCGCCCCAGAAGCCTGCGTATATCCGTGATCTTTGTCTGCGTTTCGATTATCCCCCGCAGATTTTCGTCTGCGACGTAGAGTTGGCAGCCGTAGTGGGAAAGCAGCGAGAAAAAGCTGCTCTGTCGATTCAAGGTAATGAATTGTAGGATGCCTGCCTACCTGCCTGCCGTCAGTTCAATTCTCTAGGACGGGGACGTTCGATAATGTGGCGCACGGACGTGGCTGGTGAATGAGTGGAGACTGGAGGGTGAGGTCACTCAGCCACGATGAGATCCGGTTGGTTCGGAATATGGAGACGCCCCGATTCCGCTTGTCGAGCAAAAAATTCCGAGCTGATGGGTTTCCAGCACATTGAGTCTCCGAGATGGACAGCGAAGGGACCTGGTTGCGGGTCATGATTTGCACGGGCCACGCTTGCTCACTCGTGGAAACAGCAGCTTGATGCAAGAGCGGTAGCTTCCTCGGGAGAAGAGGTCGGTTTCTCGAGGCGACTTGTAAGAATTCAAGCCTGTAGCAACTCGCGAGACCGTAACAGATCAAACTCATTCCTTCCACGTGTAAGATTATCATGACTGCACTCTTAATTGCCACACCGAAAGCTCCCATAAGTTCATCTCACTGCTGAAGGGGCCTGTGCAATCACCAGAGAGCGCGATGTTTTGAACGGTTGCGTTGCTGTGTAACTAGCGTAACGACGCCCACTACCCCGTATATCCAGTACAGAATCTCCAACAAACAATCATGACCAGAACGTAAATTCTATTAAAAGCATATCTTCTCCCGGCAGATTCGGCTCAGTCGTTGCTCGACCAGCCAGATCCTCTGCCGCTGAATAAAAGCTCCCCCTATAACCCGTCTGCGCCAGCTCGTAACACATCCATGGGACCTTAGGGTGACGCAAAAGTTTTCGAAAGACCTTTGCGCCTCCCCTTCTCTCGCTCTTCAAACATAAGTTTCCGCCTGTTGAGGACAATGACCGGAGCCTCCCCATTCGTCGCCGAGGCGGCGCGCGCATCCTCGTTCCCCCTTTTCGGAGAGTGGCGGCGATGTTTGGGAGCCCCATCCCCATCCCCATCCCCCCTCAGCACTTCCCGCTTTGCTGTGGGGAAAAAGTCCAAGACCGTAGCAATTAGCTTGCATCTTATGCGGACTGCTGCTGTTGCTGCTGCTGGTAGTTGTAGGCGACGTATGCGAGGACACCGCCGACGAGGAGGACGGCGTACAGGCCGATACCGAAGCCGGGGCTCTCGGTGCTGGAAGATGAGCTGGCGGCGGCGACCTGCTTCTTGGGGGCAGGGTCTCCGGGCTGTAGGAAAGAGAAAAAAGTCAGTACAACTGCATTCTGTGGCGTGGGCAATGCGCGCGCAATCGCGGCAAAATCGGAATTTTGTTTCCAACTCACCTGGCGCTTCAGGTCGCCGAGGTACAATTGGTCCAGGGTCTCGCGGGCCTCGTCGCTGTGTCCGACATCCTCGAACGCCTCGGTGGCATCCTGACCACCGACGTCAAGAAGAACCTCCTCGCCACCGCTGTGGAGGAAGGAAAAGTCAGTCAGGAGTACAAATCGAAAAGAGATTGAAATCCTCAAGAGAAGGGCCACCGGCGCAAGAGTGGCGGGGGCGGAAGCAGATCTAGCTGGCTACTTACGGGTGCTCGTCGACGAACTTGGTGCAGTCGTAGATCTTGTCGTGGATCACCATGTAGATGTCCTTCTTGGTGTTGTGCTCAGCAACATCCTGGTAGGTGAGTTCAACAGCGCCCATTGTGATTGATTTGTGTGCAGAGACCGCAAAGGATTGTTGGTGGTAAACGTGGCTCCTTTTTTTTTTTTCCTTCCTTATTTATCGGAGGGGTGGGAAGTTTGTTGAGGGTCCTTGCTGTTTAACTAGGATTCGGTGTGAAGAATTCGAGTCGGTTTGCGCAACACAAGGCGGGAGGGGAAGAATTGCAGGCGAGAAGATGGCTTGGGAGGATGTGATTAGGTGAGAGAAGGAGGAGTTTTGGTGCAGAAGGAAGTAGGAAAAAGGAATCGGACGAGAAGGAGGTCTCTCGGATGTTGTTGAGCCCGTTCACACTGCTTTATCGCGGGACCCCGTTAAAAATCGGGGGGGGAAAGCGCAGCACTTGGACTGGGACTGACAGCTGATGGAAGCTTCTGCTGGGACCAAGCGGTCACTGATGGACTGTGGACACCTCACAATACATAGAGACCTTAGCACTGAGGTGGGCTTGGGGGAAAGAGGGTACCGGCGGTCCGCTCAGGGGTGGACGGTTCCTTGAACCAATGGGAGAAGGAGAAATTAGTGCACAGTTGCCGTGATTCGCTGGATTTAAATGTGGGCTGGGGGAACTTGGACAGGCAGGTAAGGCAGGCCGCAGGCCGCAGCACAAGGAAGAAGGTGCGATTTCAAAGGGGGGAACCAATTTAGCTGGCGGAACTTGGAAGAGAGTCAGAACAGAACACTACCTAGTACCTCAGAAGACAAGTGACAATAGAGAGAAAGGACCCGACTACTTCCACAAGTTCCATGGCCTTCTTGCTTAGACCGGAGAGGAGAAGCTCGCCGGCCTCCTTCTCGGCATCGCACTCGGGTAGTTGAACCCCAGCCAGACACTTGACACCTTCCAAGGCTGCCACCGTTTGATGCATACTACACCTTCGTCACATACTTACCCTGATACCTTACCTTTCAGACCAAGGTATTTGTACTCGGTATAATAATCACCTACAACACCCGTGTCGATTTGCCATACCCGTCAACCGGGACCTAGGACCTAGGTAAAACTGCCCTTCCTGGACAGCCACGTCTCCTTCACTTTCACCCCGCCCGTTGATACTCCCAAAGCGAAGATGTCGAGTCAGCGCTCCCGCTGCAAAACTTCAACACTCGCCGCTTAGTACCGGGGTGCTCCGTGACTACCTAGTCTCCCACCTCTTTACCGCCCCCAGCTTCCGCGGTTGATCAACACCTTTGAGAAAGAGAGCAGATTGCTAGCTCGTTTCGAAACGCATGGCCCCTCCAATGGCTCCAACGGGGCGGAATCACATCGGTGTCCGCTACCGCAGCCGTCGTATTATTCAACTGCCCTTCTACTGGGCCAAGCAAGCGGCCAGCTTGTATTACAGGAATCTTGGAGGAAACCGACTGCAACGTCCCCCCGAGGATGAGCCAGCGTGCCAGCACACCGAGTGCCTGTGCTATACCGCAGTACTCCGTACACAAGGGTCTTGGGTTGTCCGCCCGGCACGGCCTACGCAGTATGTCTCCGGGGTTGAGTCCCCAGTTATTCGTGTTCGTAAACTCGCATTGCCAATCGCCGCTTGCTTTCTCGTGGTTCACGAACAGCCCGACTGCAACACCAGTCCCGCAAAATTGCCCACACGTACCAGCTGCAAGGTCATTACTGCTTATCCAAAGACTCCCAAATCCCGCTTCCACGGGGATACATGCCGTCCCCACCCCATGCCATCTGCCTCTTCCTCCTCGTCGCCCATCCTGATGTCAATCCTGACGCTGTCGTTCCGTTCGGATCTTGCCTTATCTGCGCCGTTCCGCGGGGTTTTCCTGGGCGGGCTGGACTAGCCCAGCTGGGTGCACGTACGGGATACACTACTACACTGCATATCTGTACCTCGCAGCTGTGGCATCGCAAATAAGGCGCTCACACACATACACATACACATACACACTTCGGACGGACTGATCACTGACCATTAAAAAAGTCCGGATCCCACGGAGCATACGGACAGTCCAGTCTCTCCAACGGAACATTACTTCACTCATCTGAACACATGGAATACATAAAGAAGTAGGCCACAATACCAGACCTTTCCTTAAATTCCCGGCCGAAATTCCTGAGAATTGGCAATTCTAGCCCAAATCGCCTGGAGCATAGCCATATGACCCCAATTCCGCAATCACATTCGGGAAATTCGGGATGATGCCGAGGCAGTCCCGTGCGGTCTCCGTCCTCCGGTATCGTCATTCCCCTTAAGCCTCCCACTTACGACTTGGTAATGAGCAAAAGGCGGGGAACGCGCGGGGTAAAAACAAGCAAACGAGATCCAGCCCTTTAGATAATCGGCTACGATAACTTTTTTTTTTTGGCGGTTGTAACAAAGGCATCGCGATATGTTACCCGATTAGGTAATTCCCGCCGGTTTGGCTAAACGTCTCGTCTGACCTGTACACTTCATCCTCTAATTCTTGGACAAATACTGCAATGGACAGACTGAAAGGGGCAATCTAGCTATTGCGCTCTAAATCTGCTAAACTTAGCTCAATACCTTCTGCTGAAGTAAGGAGTGACTTCCGCGGTCTATTTATGTCTACACCCTTCACTACAAGCACACGTGGAAATGAAGCACTTGTCCCTCCCAAGCCACCTTACTTACACTGAAAACATCCTCAGGTAAACGACCATTGTCACAAGAAGCAGCCAAGTGATGTGTTGGTAAAGAAAGTTTTTTAACCCATTCCTAGCTTTGCATGCTGAATGCACCAGTCGAGCAAACACTCTATATGTAGCCCTTAATAATCAAAGACACTCTCTTCCTCTCTCTATCTCACCCTCCTCTGACTGCCGCCGTCCCTCTATTTCCGGCCGCCGCCAATATCCTGACCCAGCCTGTACGAGGTGATCTTGTCCCACTCAATCTTCTGCCTCGTCACGGGCAGCTGTCGTCGCAGGCCCTTGAACGCGCCCTCGCTCAGGTTCGTGAATCCCCTGTTGAGCTCCTCCTGGTACTTCTTCTCCAACGCCGCAATCTCCTTGACGATGCCCGCGCCCGTGCCCGACGAGACCGACGCCTGGCTGGGCCGGCTCGTGAGCAGCCGGACGTTGCCGTCTTCGTAGTAGTGCACGTCGACCTTGACGGAGCCCTCGAGGGCCTCGGAGGAGGGGTCGAAGATGTAGACGGATCGCCAGCGGCCGTTCCTGTTGGGTCCCCATGTGTTAGTGTCCACCGCGGCGGTGGGAAAAGCCTAGGGCAGACTCTGTAGGGTAGCCTACCAGAAGTTGTTGGGAGAGTATTTGTTCGAGACAATAATGACTGCCACCTTGGAATCGTTCTCGGTGGGGTAGACGCCGTACGCGGCGTTGGGGAAGTGTTCCTGGACATAGGGGCCGAGGCTCTTCAACGTCGACTTGCTGTTTGCGTAGTCTCTCTCAGCATCACTGCCCTCATCTCGTCCGTCTCATTCCCGCAAAAACCTACATCAAGTCCGAGTTGGCGCTCTCCAGAACGTAGCTCTGCACATTGCTCGCCTTCTGTGTGGTGTGGTCAAAGGAGAAGCTCGTGGAGCTCTCCACGTCAAAGTACTGGCCGTCGCCGAGAGAGCTGTGGGAGCTGACAATGACCTGCTGGCTTCCACCGGGCAGCTTCACCGTGACGAACTGCTCCTCGTTGTACTTCTCAAATGCCGGCTCGAGGCTGGACACGATCTCGGGGTCCGATACGGTGAGCGACTTGATATCTTGGCCGGGGTTAGCAATTCGTTCGGAGCTCCTGGTGTTTTCGTCTTTGAGGGAGATTCGATGGAGGGCAAGTGCGGTTTACCTGCAATGACATCTGCGAGCTTCAAATCGAGGTCAGCTTTGAGGTGTGGTCCGCGACGTCATGTCGCGTAGTAGGGGGAGAGCTAAAAAGGTACCTCGCCTGGGGGAGCGCCCTCCACGAAGGAGGACACGGTCTCAACTTGGGACATTGTGAGATTGTGATCCGGTACGGCGGGGGATAAGAGGGCTTGGTCGCGCAATCAGTCGGTCGTTCAGTCGGTGACGATTGCGGCTGGACGGAGTGAATGGAGAGCTGTCTGCCTCTCTCGAACGTTGAAACGTAATGCGGGGCAGTTGGAGGCGGGACATGGGGAGGGGCGGATTGGCTGGGAAAGGGGGTTAATTGTTAGCGCGAGACCTCCACTTGGGCGGAAGGAAGTGGGCTCATTGTGTACTTTCTCATCACGAAGCGAACATGTCGATGGACTCACTGCCACTTGCGTCTAATTCATTTTTGATGCTACCGGAACAAGGCTTCTGAAGATGAATGGCATGTCATTAAGGGTATGTGCTATGTTTTGAGTTTTCTTTTTGTTGTTTCCCCATCACTCCTGGTTCCTAAGCAAGCCTCAATAATCAAGAACCCGCTTGATATTGTCATAAACCCCTGAACACGTTAGAAACCGTTGAATATAGTAGACAGGAGAGATCACACTTACTAGCAACATCAGGAATGTTAAACTTCTCATAAAGCAACGGAGTGTGGATGCTCCATCCAGCGACTCTCGCAACCGGCGCCTCCAGCCTTAAAAAGGTATCGGGATCCTCCTGGATCGTGGCAGCAACCTCTGCACCGATGCCAGCATTCACCATCGCCTCGTGCACCACGATACAGTGGCCCGTCTTGCGCACGCTCTGGAACACCGTCTCCTTATCCCAAGGGTACAGCGTCCTGAGATCGATGAGCTCGACAGAGATGCCCAGCTCCTCCTCGGCCTTTTGAATGGCTGACATGCACGTGTACAGCGGCTGTCCGTACGAGATAATCGTCACATCCTTGCCCTCCTTCAGGACCTCCGCCTTGGATAATGGTAAAGTGTACGACCCCGTGGGCACCTGCTCGACAGCCGCGCGGTATAGAATCTTGGGCTCCATGAAGATGCACGGGTCATTGCTGCGTATGGCTGCCAGCAACAGACCCTTGGCCTGCAGAGGTGACCGTGGCATGATCACCCGTAGACCGGGGATGTGTGTGAACAGGCTCTCAGGTGACTGAGAGTGGTAGAGGGCGCCGTGGCCAACGCCGCCGCAGGGCATCCGTACGGTCAAGCCGCCGACGCTCCGGCCGCAGGCGCCGTCTCTGTACCGGTACTTTGCCGCCTCGTTGACGAGCTGGTCAAAGGCTGGGTAGATGTAGTCGGCAAACTGTATCTCCGCAACGGGCCGCATACCCTCCGCGGCCGCGCCAATGGCAAAGCCCATGATACCCTGTTCCGTCAATGGCGTATTGAAGATGCGGTCGGCACCGTAAGTCTCTGCCAGCTTCATCGTGCACCGAAAGACGCCGCCAAAGGCAACATCCTCGCCAAAGACCATGACGGAGTCGTCCTCGGCGAGGGCGATCGAGAGAGCGTCGTTGATGGCTTGGAACAGGTTCATCTTCTTTGTCGTGCCATCGCGCACCTCCGCTGGTAATTCAGCCGTGCCAAGAGCAGTTTGTGAAGAGTGCGCGAGGAGTGATGTTGTCGCATAGTCCACGGGTATGTTGAGCTTCGCATTGGGCGGGTGTGTCGAGTAGAGCCGGGGAGTTGCAACAAGGGGCGACAGCAGCTGTGTCGATACCGACGGCGCCAGCGCTCGCCGCAGTGGACGTAATGAAATTGACGACGACCTCATTGTGAATGGTAGAGAGAGATAGAGAGATCCCAAAGAAACCTTTCCGAGATGCCAATGCCTTGTGGTTTGTGTAAATTCTATCCGTAGAGATGAAGGGAGTTGAGAGACGGGAGCCGGCTCAGACGAGGTAGGCACCTCGTTGCTAACCCGAAGGATGGCGGGTGATGTAAGTCAATCTTCGGCTTGCGACGGCGTTCGCGGGGTTGAAGCGGCTCTTGTCAGCCACAAACCCCTGCAGCCACTTAACGCCCTGATAAGGAAGACACTGGGGCCCAGAGCGTCAGAGCTCAGGTCGATTGTTGTCCTGCCAACAGCCGGTGCGCCAATGCACCTCCAAAAAACAAGGCAGGTGGAATTGGAATACCTTGGTACCTTGGCACCAAGCGAGAGCCAACGAGTCCACGACGCATACGTATTTCCCGCAAAACCATACCTTTCGACTAACGCCAGGAATGTCATCCGAGTCGCAAACATTCCAGTGCAACTGTGCCTAGGCAAAATCTCCCACCCGACGACATTTACGACGAAAAATGGCGCCCGGTGAATCTTCGAGGCCGTCGTCGCATCGACCACGAGACTCATCGGGCAAGAAACACCATCACAAGAAACGACGATCGCGCGCAGAGGGATCCAGACGGCCGGCCACGGACTCGGGCGAGAGCAGGGACGAGAGGAGATCGCAAACGCTATCCGTGGATGCATTGGCAAAGCTGAACCAGGATAACGTCAAGAGGCAAAAGAGAAGGGAGAAGAAAGAGTCAGGCGCGGGCGCTGGTAGGCCATCGAGGGACACAGAAGCAGATGCAGAACGGCGGGAGAGACGGAGGGCACGACGCGAAGCCGCCTACCGGGATGCGCCCACAGAACGGCCAAAGAGGGTGAGGCGAGAGGAGGATAGGGAAGTGGTGTATGAGAAGCCCAGGAAAGAGCACAAGAACAAGAAGAAACGTGTGGTCAGCGGCGCTATCATGGAGGAGGGACGTTCACGAGGGCATTTGAGAGGTGGAGGATGGAACAGCTCCGACCACAGCTTCGAGAAGGAATATCTCATGGAGGACCCTCCGAAACCGGTAAAGAAGCGGAAGAAGCTTTGTAAGTTGCTTCAAGTCGTGAAATGGAGACATTGACTAACCACCCGACAGGGATATGCCTCGGTGTCTCATTAGTGCTTCTCATCATCATCATCGTAGTAGCGGTGGTGGTCAGCAAGAACAACAATAAGAGCAGCAACACGAAAACGACCCTCGACGACGGGAACAAGGACAGCGTCCCGATGAAGTGGCGCGGCACCTATCTCGATCCGTGGTCGTGGGAGGACACAACCGACTTCAATGTCACCTTCACCGACCAAATGGTCGGCGACCTGCCCGTCATGGGCCTCTACACCGACTGGGACGACTCGGCAAAGGCAAACGACAAGGTGCCGGCGCTCAAAGACGCCTGGGGCTCCTACGGCTCACGGCCTGCCCGCGGCGTCAACGTCGGCGGCTGGCTGAACCTCGAGCCCTTCATCACCCCTTCCCTCTTCAACTACGACTCTCGCCTCGGCATCATTGACGAGTACACGCTGTGCAACCACCTTGGCACGAAGCAGACGGCCGAGGTGCTCGAGAAGCACTACTCGACCTTTGTCACCGAGTCCACTTTCAAGGAAATCGCCGACGCCGGCCTCGACCACGTCCGCATCCCCTTCAACTACTGGGCCGTCGAGGTCTACGACGGCGACCCCTACCTCTTCCGCACCTCGTGGCGCTACCTCCTCCGCGGCATCGAGTGGGCTCGCAAGTACGGTCTCCGCGTCAACCTTGACGTCCACGGCCTGCCAGGAAGCCAGAACGGTTGGAACCACTCGGGTCGCCAGGGCGCCATCGGCTGGCTCAACGGCACCGACGGCGCGACAAACGCCCAGCGCAGCCTCGACATGCACGACCGCCTCTCCAAGTTCTTCGCCCAGGACCGTTACAAGAACATCATCGCCTTTTACGGCCTCGCCAACGAGCCGCGCAACGTGGACCTCAACAACGCTGACGTCGTCTCGTGGACTGCGCAGGCCTACAAGCTCGTCAAGGGCAACGGCATCGGCGGCGTCGTCGTCTTTGGTGACGGCTTCATGGGCTTGGCCAACTGGCAGGGCAAATTAACGGGCTACAGCGATCTCGCGCTCGACGTGCACCAGTACGTTATTTTCAACACTGATCAAATCGTCTACACGCACAAGAAGAAGGTCGAGTACGCCTGCAGCGGGTGGACGGAGCAGACGGAGCAGTCCATGGATACCTCCACAGGCTACGGCCCGACGCTGTTTGCCGAGTGGTCTCAAGCCGACACGGACTGCGCCAAACATTTAACGAATGTCGGCTGGGGTAACCGGTGGACGGGCACCTACAACACGGGCAACGCGACGACGTCGATCCTCGAGCCGCGGTGTCCGACCGAGGACAGCAAATGCGACTGCGACACGGCCAACGGCGACGCGGGCGGCTTCAGCAGCGACTACAAGAAGTTTTTGCAAATGTTTGCCGAGGCGCAGATGCACTCGTTCGAGAAGGGGTGGGGGTGGTGGTACTGGACGTGGGATACGGAGAGCGCGCCGCTGTGGAGTTATAAAAAGGGCCTCGCGGCCGGGATCCTGCCGGCCAAGGCGTATGATCGGGACTTTGACTGCTCCGGGACCGTGCCGGACTTTGGAAGCCTGGCGGAGACCTACCGGATGTGAGAGACTGAGATGGATGGAAAGCTGGACATGGTTTCGGAAGTTCCGTACCGGAGGTCCGGAGGCTCGTTCTTGGCGGGTGGGCCCCTGGTTGTGCGGCTCTGTCTTGGACGACGTGCGTTTGGTTGTCCGACGACATGCGTACTGGTGTCTATATATGCTATTTGCATGCAATGGGCGTTTTTGTTTTTTGGCTTCTTATTGTTTTCTTGTCATTTGCCCCTATTTCCGGGGTTCAGGGGTCCAGCAACTGCATTTCGACATCAACGAAAGCGAGAGAAACATAAGTATACTAGAAAGAATAGCTAGCGGGGGGTTCATGATGATCATGTAAGTAAAGATACGAAGGGAAAAGATGGATAAGGGCTCATGTATGATAATTACGCCAATGGAGACCACACATGATTTCAACTCCATCAAAGTAGATAAAGAGAAAAAGAGAAAAAGAGAAAAGGGAGGAGGAGATGATGAAAGCATCACGAATCATCGGGGATGGTCTCATCTACCTCACCGTTCTGTCTCGTTCCGCTAGTGAGCTTCGAAGGTTGCAAATCATGGACAATTGCCAGTGAATGTTTTGTATTACCGATCCTCATCGTAACTCCGAGGAAATCACTCAGCCTAAACGATCTATCTCCACGGCTCTGAATCACAAATCAGAAACACGTGGTCTTCTTTTTTTTTTTTTTTTTTTTTTTTCCCTTATTTCCCGCAGACGATCAAAAGTCCTAATCGATCTCAACCACCCCCAAAGGCCCCGAACGGCAACTGCCGCCGGCGGGGAGAAAAAGGCCCAAATGTTAACGGGAAAGTGTGTGTGGCAAGCTGTCAGAAAATAATTGGCAATACGCACAGACACTGAGTTTGAGCTGGAGACCACAAGATAACGGTCGCCCGGCGCCGGGAAAAGCTGCCGACAATTGGCAACCCTCTCGCGGCTTCGGCCCTCTACGATAGAAGCGAAAGTGACAATCCAGCTTGTGCCTTATTTCCCCTACTGGGCCCTGCAAACATGCGAAAGCGGGGATCGACCACCTAAAAAAGCCCACATGCCAGGCAGTCTGAACCTATTTCGTCAGATCTCAAGAGAGGAGAGAGACTCGGAAGCTAACGAAAAGTATGATAGATGGGGAGATGGACCTCAAGCTTATCGCGATTCGCACGTCCTCTGTGACAGGTATCTGTAATCGATGAACCATTCTATCGGGCCGCGTCTAACAGCCGTGAGTGGAATTCCGCCAAGACGGGTTGGGTTTCTTCTCAGCACCACATCTCGACGTACTCCGTATGTTTCCTCGAATACCCAGTCGAACACACGCAGGTTACAGGGCCAATTTTAGCAACCTGTGACTCGTTGCAGAAGTGACAAGAGGTGACAGGCGCCTCCTGTCTCATATGATCCTATGTTCCAGATGCCGAGGGTCCCCCCGTCTCTTCCCGCTGGCGCCAACTGAATGAGCAACCGCGAGCTGCGAAAGTCTGGAACAAAAATGTCGTGGTGAATCTCGGCTCTTCCGACGTCATATCCATGGCGGTTTATTTCCGAGAGAACCCCGTCACCTTTCAGTCACCACCCTTTTGACCAACGCAAATGCAGCCAAAGAATGCTAGGTAGCAATTGCAAACTCGCGCGAACCAGCGCCGAACAACTGAAGGTCCCCCTCATTGGACCACCCTCCATTCGCTCTCTCGAGAATAGGCTGTTGGCTCCGATGCAGGACTGGAAGATCCCCAAGGCGATGGAGGGTCCAACTCAGCGTCATCCATCCCACAGTTTGTCACCCACCAGGGGGCTCTATGACACGCCTGCATGCCCCTCTCCACCTCCTCACCTCACCACCTCACCTATCCTCTCTTGTTCCCTTTCGCCGCGATGACGAGATCCACCCTAGTCCGGGGTGTGCTTCCGCTCAAAAGAGCGAACCGCGTTCTGGGCTGAATAATCGTCGAAAAGTGCATGGGAAAAATTGCCAAACGGGTCGCGCCGTCTAGCCATCCGGTCGTCTTTGACTAATGCGTGTGAATGGATGCGGTGCCGATGGCGCGAGGTCCCCACTATCCCATCCACTTCAAGTTCCTCGCGCTTTTCTTTGCCTGGTTATCGGGAAAACTGCAAAATCCATGAAAAAGATGTCCTCTTCCACTCACCTCTTTCGCCAATTCCTCCTCTGCATCATCGTGAAATAATTGGAAGAGTCGCAGTGAGAGAGGAGCCGTTTCTCCCACTTCCAAATAAAAACCACTGCCCTACACACGTATCCCTTCGCAGAAACGCCCAGCCCAGCAAGAGACTGATCTGATCCTGTCACGATCCACACGACCGCTGGAACTCGGAACCCGGCCCATAATAACCACGCGGGATATCCGTACAAATATCCGACATCCGCAATCGGCCGACTACTGTGCCCTTGATATCAAGTCGTTATCAAGTGGTCCTGAGTAAGACCAACTAGAGAGGGAAAAAATTGTCGAGAATCGTTACTGCTTTTTTTTCCCCTTGCGGTATTCAACGACAACCATGATGAACGAGGTCGAAAGAGATATCGAAAAGGCCGAGAGCCATTCATCGAATCAGGACGATGACAGCGCCACAGTCCACGAGGACTCAGGCTTCGAGCCCATCCGCACGGGCGCCGCCGGCACACGGTCACTCCGTCATTCGAGATCACTGACCCGGACGCGGTCACAAAACGGCTACAGCTGTGACGACTACCAAGAGAACGACAGCCCACCGAGAGAACCGGAAAAGGACCAGCATGAAGTGACGTTCGAGGGTGGCGACAGCGACCCCATGAGTCCACGTAGTTTGGGCAAAACGAGAAAGTGGCTCATCGTATCTATTGTGTCCTGCGCGAGTTTTTGCGTGTAAGTGAAGTTGACTTTCGACTCCGCAATGAGATAGATGCTGACATGTGAGACAGTACCGCCGCAAGTTCCATCTACACCTCGACGTATGCGCAGATGGATGCAGAATTCGGCAACTCTCGACTAGTGAGTACTATTGGCCTGTCAGTCTTCGTGCTTGGCATCAGTTTGGGCCCCATGTTCCTGAGCCCCCTCAGCGAGTTTTACGGACGCCGGCCCATCTACTTGGTCTCTTGGTCCATGTATGTCATTTGGATCATCCCGTCAGCAGTCGCCAAGAATATTGCAACCATGATCGTTGCTCGATTCTTCGACGGTCTGTCGGGCAGTGCCTTCCTCGCCGTGTCCGGTGGCACGGTGAGTGACTTGTTTGCTCGTCATGAGCTTCAAGCCCCTATGCTCATGTACTCACTTGCTCCCTTCATCGGACCGTGCATCGGCCCGTTGATTGGTGGCTTCGTCAATTACAACGCCAACTGGAGGTGGACGTACTATGTCATGATCATCTGGGCCTTTGCGCTTTTGGTAGCCATTGTCGTATTCGTCCCAGAGACTTATCGTGAGTGTCCATGGAGGGTGCGCCCCTGGACTAGCCCGCCAGAGCTGACCTTTGCTTACAGATCCGATCGTCCTGCGGACCAAGGCACGCAAGATCCGAAAAGAGACAGGTGACGAGCGTTGGAAGGCCCCTGTTGAGAACATGACCAAGTCTGTCATCAAGACAATCGGCATCTCCTTGATGCGTCCCTTCCAGCTCATTGCCTTTGAGCCCATGGTTCTCAGTCTCGACATCTTCTCGGCCATTCTCTTGGGTATTCTATACCTTTTCTTCGGTGCATTTCCCCTCGTCTTCACGACGATCCATGGCTTCAATCTGTGGCAAGTCGGTCTCACTTTCCTGGGCATTCTCGTGGGCATGTTCCTTGCCGCTGCGACGGACCCCTTGTGGCACCGTATCCGCAGTCGACTCATGGCCGACTTGGAAAAGGAGACGGGCGTCGAGGGTGCCAGCGAGCCAGAGTTCCGCCTTCCGCCAGTCATCCTGGGTGCCTTCTTTTGTCCCATTGGTATCTTTTGGTTCGGATGGAGCCTTCATGTGCACTGGATCATGCCCATCATTGGGTCCGCCATTTTTGGAGCTGGGTAAGTTCACATTTCCCTTCGCACAGTATCGCAACCATGGCCCAAAGTTGGAAAAAGGCCCGTGGTTCCGCAACATGAGCATCTTGCTGCCGTGATAAGACAACCCCGTGGTTGCTTTGAGCAGGCCTCTGCAGACTTCTGCAGATTCATGTGCCGGGGTATGCTTTCGGCCGTTAGGCATGCTTTGTCAGGCTTCCATGGCCCGTGGGGTGATATTGTTTTCCCATTTTGTATGCAGGAGTATGCAGCTGACCGTCTTGATGTGTCGCAGGACTCTCCTCGTCTTCACTGGAATCTTTACGTTTCTTGTAAGTGGAATATGTTCCGCCAACTCCCCGCTTGTGGCGTTCCAGGGGTTTGGAATCAGTCTCAGGCCCGGATGTTACACGACAGGAATTGTGCTAAAGTTGGGGCTTACAGGTCGATGCTTATCCTCTCTACGCCGCCTCGGCCCTCGCAAGTAATGCGTTTGTGCGATGCATGTTCGCTGGTGAGTTGCCCCGTGGCACCAACGCTCTCAACCACTCAGTTGGGAGGTGTCGTGTTTCGTTCGGTGCTGACGTGAACTCCTCTCTCAACAGCCGCATTCCCGTTGTTTGGAACGCAGATGTACAACAAACTTGGATACTCCTGGGCTTCGTCATTGCTCGCCTTCTTGACGGTAGCCATGCTCCCATTTCCGTACATCTTCTTCAAGTATGGCAAGAAGATCAGAAGTCGCAGTCGATTCGCCACGCGGGCGTAACAAGAGGCAGAAGAGCGAACAAGTCCACAGCGGACCAGAAAAAGAAAGTTGACGAGGGACCCAAGGCAACGAGAGATTCAGCGAAGGTCGGTGAAGAATCAGGCGTGAACGGCATCGCACAGACTTCCCGTATTGGTGTGGAGGACCAGCAGAGAGGCTTTCTAGCTATGAATGGTTGACAGTGGTCGTATGCAGCCTCGCTGCCGGTGTTGTTGGTCGTGGGTGCCCATATTGCCATGGTTGGCGCGTTCCTGACCCAGATGGTCGAGCTGGGTTGCCACTTGGCGTTATTGGACGACTAGTGAGCGGGAGTCCGCGCACAGCAGATGCGGCTGTTGATCGCGTCGATCGTCGTGAGGTGGACGGCAGTAACCGTCTGCAGGTGCCTCAAGGTGTCGGGCTGTCATTGATGGAGAGGTCATCAGGCAGCCATGACGAGAAAGGCTGAATGGTAACGCGGCATACGGGGGCTGGCCGAGTGGCTGCCAAAGATGGGCGAGATGCCTTGGTTGATTTTGTGCTCACATGTAACGAGATACCCCGAATGGTTGATGGCTTGCAGGTAGATAGACCGACCGGTGCTCGGCACGTCGGCTACAATCAGTGTTAGTTAATGCGATGATACCACCCACATCCTCAGCGAGCCGTGGCATGTATGGCACTTGCATGTCATGACTGTTCAGGGACCTGAAGCTATGTGTAAGTCGTCACTCGGCCCTCGGCTTGGCTTGTCTTGGGACCAGGCAGACTGCGGACAGCGGATAGTTGGATGCGGAGATCGTATTGGATCTCACATGCCGCAATGGAACAGTGAGAATGCCAGATGTCCAATAGAGTGGCTTGCAGTTGCATCGCTAACGTAATGCCGTGCGACTGAACCTGGCCATACTGGAAAGGTTGACCATAAGGCGAGGCAGATGATGAACGGATGGTCATTGTTTCTTAGGGTCGAGCTTCGATCCTGTCGAGGATGATGTAAGTTGGTGAGGTGAGCCGAATATGGTCTGGCCAACCTGGTTCGGATCCAAGTTACGAGGATGTAAGGTGCGAGTTTGTGTCTTGAGGAACCTTTGCTCGGATTGCGTCTGGGCCCAAGTGGCATGGCAAGTGCACACGGGTGCAATAGATATTCTGCAGGAGCAGGCGGCAGGCATGTGTCCGACTTTTAAACTCCATACCTTCCTCAGCATGTTATCCGCACCTTCCATGCCTAGGTCTAGAGAAAGTACAGACGAAGATGGGTTGTTTCCGTTTCTGTTCGGAACTACCGTACCGCCTTCCACATCCACAGTCCACAACGGCGCCGTGTGTCCGACAGTCCGTCAGTTTAGATGCGACGGGAAGGAAGGAAAGAACACCAACTAATTAGAGACTCGAGGACCTGGATGACTGTGCAGTGTGCACCGTCGAGGGAAGGACGACGGGAATATTGTATGAAGTATTAGATACATCTTCAGTGCCGTAATTTGTGTGGTACATCATGTAGTCACCACTCACAAGGCACGAAAAGTGGGTTTCTCGGTTGGTATCCACATAATACGCCCACATTCCCCCTCGGCCCAACGAATGACGGGTGTGACATTTTCTCCAAGAAAAACCCCGCAGTTCAGCATGTAAATCTTTGACCAACGGCAGCGAGGCTGGGGCATCCGTTCTCTCTTTGGGGCCTGTTAGCTGCTGTACGTTACCTGTGAGGAGTACCTACCTTACCTTACCTTAACGGATACTGCCCGTACTTTGGCACCCTGCCTATCCCGTCCTTCTCGTTTTCTTTACCGACGGTCAGCTCTGACGACAAACCTCTCGCGTGCTCCTCTTCCACCCGGCCGAGGATAAACATCACGACTCCAAAATCTGCCCCGACCCCCGACGACGCCGCTTTCCCCTCAATTGCGCCGCTGCGCTTGCGATCACGAACCTGCGAATGCGATCCGCCCTATCAGTACTACTTATTACCAAGTAGTCCACCAAACTCCCTGTACCGCGTGTCAATGCTTGCAGCAGACAAGCACAAGGACAACGGCTTCCTGCATATACCATTTACTCGCTCGACCTCTAAGAACCTCCGTCACATCACCCCGGCCCAGCGCCGTCAGTCGGCTATCCGCCCAACGACCAAGTCTACCTCCTTGTCCCCGCGACCTCATGTGGTCCGCGACGCGAACACCGGTCTCGAGACGACTGCGCCAACCATCGAGTCCAAGAGACTTAGTCCTGTCGTGACGAGCACGTCGCACAAGAAGCGCCTCTTTTCTCTCCACCAACCCGCCATTGGAGACTCCTGACTGCTGAGGATACGAGCTGTAGAAGACCCAAGGCTCGCCGCCTTTATTCTCTTTTGCCCTGTCCTGCTTGTAAGCCGTCTGCCTATCTGCGGCGCAAAGAGAACCAGAAGAAAAAGGGAGAAAACAAGGCTCTACCCGGCCTATATTGCGGGAGCGCACAGCGCCTATTTCTGGACCTGCCCTCTCATACCACGTTGCCGCGGGAAACCAGTGTCCGGCTTGACTCCTATTCGCAGACTCGAACTGCCACTACGTACATTGGTCTTGGGAGTAGCTAGTCACGCAGCGGTGGTGTACTTTTGAGCTGTGTGTGTGTGTGTGTGTGGCAGCAACCCAGCTAGAACCCCGGCGTGTGTCACTCTACACCGACGCAGGTGGACTTTCCTGCTTTCTTTCCTATTCTACGACGCCAATCCAGCGCGACAGCGGGCCAGCCCACATACGTTTGAAAGTGAGCCGTGTGGTTTCGCAAACAGACCATCACGGAGATTCGTGGACCGGGGTTTGCAGTGCCGTGCCGTCACCGCGCCAGCTCCCACGCAAGCACGCCGTTATCGCTTTTCTGCCCAAGGGGAGGCCTGTATATATAAATCCACGACAACATGCCTGACGGCCACGACGATACCGGGCCAGAGGTCTCGGATGCCATGTCAGATAATGACCACGACTACGACGACGACACCCCCGTAAGAGACGACGACGACGAAAAGATGGCCGAATCTCACGACAGCGGCGCCGACACCAACGGCGAGGTCAAGAAGAAGTACGATCCCAAGGATCCTTCACGACCAAGGAGGAAGAAGGCTCGCCGGGCGTGCTTCGCCTGCCAACGAGCCCATCTGACTTGCGGTAAGCTTTGCCCGATTCCTCTGGGTCCGGCTCGCGATAGTCTCTGGTCAAGTGAACACCCGTGAAGTCTTGTAATGCTTTGACATAAACCCCGTGGTAACCGGGATTTAGCTGCCTGCTCCACTCACATGGCCGTCTGCGATGCAACCTTGCTGATGGGATGGCTACAGGAGATGAACGACCTTGTCAGCGATGCATTAAGCGTGGACTCGCAGAGGCTTGCCAAGATGGCGTCCGCAAGAAGGCAAAGTATCTGCATGATGCTCCGCCCGAAGCTCTCCGGCCCGTGCTGGGTCCGAACTACAATCCCAACGCGGCGCCGCCGGCCCGCCCTAATGGCCAACGGCATCACAGCGGGGCCTCGGACACGGCCTCGACAGCAGGGAGCACATATTTCGGTCAGAGCTCAACCGCGTCATTCCCCGTTTATTCGGGCCAGCAAACGCCCGTCGGCATTCCCGATGGCCTACCGTATCAGCCGCAACCATCGCCGATATCACCGTCTTTCCCGCAGCCGAGCAACACTGCTCGATCCATTGGCGGCATGATCTCGCCGCAGGTCGCCAACGACCCCTTTAATACGTTATTCGATCCGAGCAACCCAGCAATCTTCAACTTTGATCTGGAAGGGCTCAACTTTGGCAGCCAGTATGGCGCCATGGAATTCGGCATGCTAGGGCATATGTCATCCGGCGCAGCGGAGACCCCTCCGCGCGACGGCTCCCTGTCTGGACCAAGTGGTGAAGTCAACTTTGGATCCACAAACGTCTTTGGCAACAATGGAAACAACCAGTTTGGCCAAGTATACGATAGCGGTATGATCAACGATTTCATGGGTGTAGACCAGTCTTCCAACGGCATGTACCAACAAGGCAATCTGCAACATGGCCTTCCACATGCCTACGCCATTGCTGCTGGCCCAACAAGCCTACATAGTCCAAGCACAGACAACACCGCCAGCCCGCAACCTACTAACTTTACCTTTGAAGGATCTCCAAGTGGGAACTTTGGCGCTGTTGGAAACTCCCAGACCATAACCGCCCCGACGCGGCCCAAAGTAAAGACCGGCGCCCCTCAAAAGAGCGGTCCTCATACACTCCTCGGCAAGAGGCAGCGCGACCCTTCGTCCATATATGAGACCGTAAAGGAGCCATATCCATATCTCGCCGGCTTCCACGCTCTCATCGACTACCTACCGAAGCGCTTCTCAGCCAACATGACGCTGCGCATCGCAAAGGCTCTCGCCAGCATTCGCCCGTCATTCATCGCCTGCACCAAGACTCTCAGCCGTCAGGATCTCATCTTCATGGAGAAGTGTTTTCAACGCACTCTGTTCGAATACGAAGAGTTCATGCACCACACCTCGGCGCCTACTATTGTCCTCCGCCGTACTGGCGAGATTGCCGCCGTCAACAAGGAGTTCATCGCTCTAACAGGCTGGACCAAGGATGTCCTCCTCGGGAACGACCCCAACTTGAACGTCAATACCGGCGGTACCGGGTCGACAACCAACAGTGGCCGCAACACTGGCCGTGCCGGCTTCTCAACGCCAAAGGCGCCCGCCGCAACGCTTGCCGATCAGATCAAGAACGAAAGCGGACCGCGGAAACAGCCCGTCTTCATTGCCGAGATCCTCGACGATGATAGTGTGGTTGAGTTCTACGACGACTTTTCGCATCTTGCCTTTGGCGACAGCAGAGGCAGCGTCAACCGCACGTGTCGGATCCTCAAGTACCGTACCAAAGAGCAGACGGAAAGCGCGGCATCGTCGGATATGATGCCGCAGCAGGATCCGCGCAAGAGCATACTCAGCAACCGCGTTACGCGAATCGACGGCGAGCATGGTATCTCAAAGATTGAGAAGGACGGCAAGGTGGACTGCCGGTATTGCTGGATGATTAAACGAGACGTATTCGATATCCCCATGTTGATTGTGATGAACGTGAGTACACCTCCTTCCCCCTAAGCAATTATGAGGATATGGACTGACAGACGCAGTTTCTTCCATGCTATTCCCAGAGCAAGGAAACTCATGGACTGGCTGTGTGAGGTGAAGTATCAAAAAAGGGGCGATCAGGGCATACATGAGGCGGGGAGAGGCATCGGAGGCGTTTTCACTTTTGATTCAAGGTTCACATTGTGTGTGTGTTCTCGTCATTTGTTTGACATGGCTCTTCCCGTTGATAGGGTAGGCCGGGAAAGGCGCATCATTTTTTTTTTTTGGAAGGGATCGATCTATGGTAACATATTTCATTGTTTCCTAACAATAACTTGACTTCAGCCAACCAACCCCTCGGGGAGAGGGAGGGGAAATACCCAAAGAATCCTATACTTTATGGAACAGACATAACCTTTTTTTTGGAATGGATTTCATTCTTCTATATTTCTAACGCTTCGTTTGTATTTGTGTTTGTGTTTGTCTTACTTTTTGTGAAGGGGTGTCGTGATCATGGGAAGTCAATGAGGGATATGACATGAGAATAAGAGATACTGGGCTCTCCCTAATCCCCAGACAATTTTCAAGCCTTGGGCAACTCCTCAACCAACCACTGTGCATCAAGCGACCCATCCACCGTGCCCTTGGGCCGCAAAGCCTTGGGCGGGTGCCACGCCGGCCTGGCGAGGGAGTTCTTGGCCACGTCGCAATCGGTGTTGATATCCGCAATCAGCGCCTCGAGGCTCTTGTAATCCAGCTCGTCGCGGACGAAGCCCAGGATTAGCAGACGCATGTGGGCGTCGTAGAAATCCGCGGAAAACTTGTGGAGGACGTGGACTTCGGCGGAGCGGACCGTGTTTTTGTAAAAGGGGTTGTAGCCGATGGACATGACCATGGGGTAGAGCTGGAAGTCGATGTGAGGTTGTGCGGGGCCGGAGCCGGAGCCCGAAGAAGGGGCGGCGACGCGGTCTGGGTGCGAGGGGGGCAGGGAGAGGGAGGCCCAGCCGAAGTAGACTCCTGATTTTATGGTGTCGATCCAGGGGGTTAGGGTGGCGTCTACGGGGAGGTTTGCGGTTGGGATGCCGAGCTTGGGGTGAGTGGTTAGTCTGGGGGTGGTGAAGGAGGTTTGATGAGATGGTGTGGTTTGGGGGATCGCGGGTGTGAGTGAGGTGTTTGTGTGTGAAGATTGCGAGAGAATGAGAGGCCGTTGTTGGTGAAAGGGTTGAAGAGATGTGACGGGGGAAGCTGTTTTGCGGGCTTACCTCCTTGGACCCCCGGCCGAAGCCAGAGATGACCTTGCCTTCCATCTTGTACGGGTAGGGGGCCTCGGGGCCCGACTCCTGGCCGACGATGAGGGGACGGGTCGTCTCTGATGCCACCATCTTTGCCGTTTTTATCTGATTCCTCTTGAATCCTTTGGCTGTGTTGATCAACAAGCGCTGCACACCTTCTTCTGTGTTGAGATGTGTAGAGGTGGTCTGGATGGTTGGTTGTCACAATGCTGATTAATCCAACACCGGGTGAGTGAGTGAGATTCTCAAGAATAAGCTGGGTGCGAGAGTGAGCTTGGTATCTAATGGAAAGCGTTAGTTCAGAGATCAGATGGAACGAGTACAGCACAGCGTACCTACCAGTGGGATGAAGCAAGGGGGAAAAAAGATCTCGAGATTTTCCAAGTGTGAGAGTGAGAAACGTTAGACAGATTGCGACATTGGGTGAGAAAGAGAGAGAGAGAGCCGCTTCGATGATGAGATGAAAGTGGTTGGTGGGGCAGTGGGATGAAATGGAGGGGTCGTCGTTCCGGTGTGACTGATTGGAGTCGGAAGGTCGAGAGTGCGGGCGGGCGGACAGCGATTCGGGCGACTTCGATAAGGCTCTCGAGTGGGAGTGGGTGGGTGCACCTGCCGCCTGCCCTGTGGTCCAGGTGCGTTATCGATTTCGCGATCGGGAGGGGCACGACGTTGCGCCGACCAACCTCAGTGGGGCCTTCATGTTCCCCTTCCCGCCTTTTGGAGGGGGGAGAAGGACAAGCCGGCAGGCCGGAGGCTGCCGTGTGACAATGCAGTCATCTCCTTGCTTATTCTCGTCCAATTACATTTGAAGATTTGTACATTCATCCCGTGTAAGACGTAGGCAGTTGATCATGGGAGAGGCACAGTTGACTACATTTCCGCTGTAGATTTGTTATAAACTAAGGTAGGTCCATTAAACAAGTATACAACATTCTGTTGCCTAGGCGTAAACTTTGTGTATCTAAAGACAGTGGGTGGTATTTTTTCTTACACGAGGGGATATCAACAAATTCCAGCAAACTGATAAAAACAGATAATATCAACAAGGAGAAAAAGGTGAGGGGGAAAAAAAAGGAAAATGACGAATCAAGATGGTGCTGAAGGCCTTGCTACCGAATGGACCGACCAACACTCCAAGACACAACCTCATCTTCCGACGTCCACCTGACGATGGAAAGACAGGTTTCGTGATTCCACACGAAACAAGCTTTTTCTCAAGACAGATACACGAACGGTTTGTCCCATCATCCCGCGATGACCGTGACCTATGTCTCTGCGTCGCCGTAACCACGGACTTAGTTGCCATTGGGTCCCGAGGCAGAGTGGCTCCGACCGGACGCCGAGGCACCACAGAAAACATCCCGCGAGACGAGACCTCCCGACACCTAAGACCGGGGCCAGGCGCCGTGCTTCCACTCGGTCCGCCCAAGCCTCACAATCTCGGGCGCCTCGATGACCCACAGACCGGCAGGCGCCTTACCCTGCTCGACAAGCACGGCAGCGTGCACGGCAGCGCGGGCAATCACCTCGGCCTCCTGCCCAAACGTATCCTGCACGCCGCGATTCAGCATACCCAGCCCGCGAACAACAGACTGGAACACGCCCTCGCCGGCGCGGCTCTCCTCGCGCGCGCCGAGGATCAGACCCGGCTTGAGGATGATGCCGTGGTCGAAGCCGGCCTCCTTGACAGCGTCCTCGACGCCGTTCTTCATCTTGCTGTAGGGCGCCTGGGCGCTCAGCGCGCCGCGGGTGCCGCCGCTGGAGACGAAGATGAAGGCCTTGGAGCCGGCGGCTTTAGCGGCCTTCACGAGCTCGACGTTGAGGTCGTGGTCGATTTTCCACTGGTTGGCGATGCTGCCGGCGGCGGCGCGGGTGGTGCCGAGGGCGGAGAAGACGACGGTGGGGGTGGGCTGGAGGGCGGCGAGCTTGGGGGGCCAGGCGGAGGTGTCTTGTTCGATGACGGGCTTGAGGGTCAGGCCGCCTGCTTTAGGGGGCCGACGGGAGATTGTGTTGACGGCGGCGAAGGCTTCCGAGGTGATGAGGTTTGTGAGGATGTGGGAGCCCACGAGGCCGGTTGAGCCGATGACTGCGGCGTTGTGCGCCATTGTTTTTATTGTTGTTTGTTTGTTCGCTTATTGGACAAATTAAAAAAGAAGTCTGAGTGTTTTGCTGTAGCTTTCTTCTGTCGCTATGGAACAGAGAGATAGAAAAAAAAAGGTGAGATGATTGATACGACGAAGACGCAGGCCCCGGCGGGTTGGTAATTCTGGCGCAGTGGTAAACAGTGTCTGTTGTCTGTGATGCTGCAGCTCTTGGTGCTCTTTTCCTGTCTGTGGGAAAAAGAAGAGAAGAGAAGAAGTGAGGGAGAGGCGCGAGAGCAGAGTGCAGGACGTCTGTGGGATATGTTGATGCGGGCTTTATGAGAGCTTTGCTTGGTGCTGGTGCTTTTTCGAACCCTAATGAAGTTTGCTTGATCTTTACAATGTCTGTGTGGAGTTGGTGAGACAAGGCCGTGAGAGTAGGAGGGGGTGTGGTGATTTTAAGACGAGGCTAGATGAGGGGGAGTGCGAGATTGGATACAGAGGGACGAGTGTGAGGCTATTGCACCTTTTGATGGTAGGTCTAGAGAGAGGGAGAGGAAGAGGTAGACGCGTATGCTGGTTGTTGAGCTGGAGGTGGAAGAGGAGGGCTGTCGAGCAATGTTCCTTGGATATGACGAAAGGGTTGGCACTTGCGTTTGCGCCTGGAGATCGTTGACGACCGGGGTAATACTTGATGGAGAGAGATGGGGAGGGGGGTGTTTGCGAACCACAGCGGGGGAAGGGAGAAAAAAGAATCAAAAAAAGAGACGATTGCGAAAAGTTGGAACGGTTTATCTTTCAAGCTCGGACAGGGGAGGTCGGAGCGGCTTTCTATCTCTTGACCGTCTAGTTCCGCCCTCTGCGGAAGGCGCACTTTAGAGGTTATTGCAGATGTCTTTGGATGACAGAGACAACTCCACTTTCTAAATGCCGTCACAATAGCAGTATCAATAGCACGTAGTGTAAAAGTGGAACGACGCCGGGGAGACCGCCTCGGGATCACCACAACGGCTTCTCCACGCTCGTTAGGCATTGGGTGGTGGGTGTTCGCCGTTCCTTGGTCCGATCGGGGTTCCACATCAGGTTCGCAGAGTCTGGAGCTATTGTCTCCGACGATGGGAAAAGGAGGGGCTCACGGTTCACCTTGAAGTCCAAATCGCTATTACTTGGCGGTTACTCATCTACACTTACACCGTGGAGCAAAATCTCGCATTCAGGCAAAACGGCCTTTGCATGAATTTGAAGATGCCCAAGCACATTTCACACATGACTAGTAGCTACGTACTCGGCTAGAAAGCCCTATCTATCGACCTGTCCTCTGGTCCATCCTCCTCAGGTTATTCTGTGTCCGTGGCCGCGAATCCGACGAGATGGTTTGGGTGCCTAAGAAGAGACAAAAGGAACATGAAGAGAGAGAGAGAGAGAGAGAGAGAGAGAGAGAGAGAGAGAGAGAGGGACGAGAGAAGCCAAGACGGAGGAGCCCAAGCTGGGAAATGTCCGCAAGTCATGTAGAGCTCCGCTTTACACGGAGAGCTCGGTGCTCAGCTGGGGCTGCTTAACGCCGGCATGGTGGATCTTGTTTCTCCGTCATGACTTGACCTGTTCGGCACTTTAAGCACTCCCAAGACATTGCCCTTGCCGAATAAGTCGGCTTCCTTGTGTGGAAAAAAAAAAGACAGACAAAGACCCTTTGCTTGCTCATATCAAGACATATCCCGAATAGCTCCTAGATGTAAACCGGGGAAGCCCCTACGAATCGCCGTGTAAGTGTCACATTTTCGGCGTTAAGGTCCACCAAACGAACGTGGGGGAACGTGGATACTCCGCCGCCGCGGAATCCGCGACCGCAGAATGCGGAATTTGCAAAAGAAGCTCTTCACCGGCAAACGCCTTTCTCAACGGCTCCTCCGAGAACATGACAATGATGACTATAGGAATAGAAAGATATTATCAACCAAGAAGTAGGATTCCACTGATGGGATGTTTTGAATTGGAACCTGCTGTCGTACGTATTTCTACCTGCGAACAACTCGGAAAGACCATACCACACTGGGATGAACTTCAAGATTTAGACATTTGATAGAGGTCAACCAACACCTGTTATATAAGGGCGTGATCTTAGACTCCAGAAACAGAATCTTGCCAAGATTGAGAGATATTGAGGTAAGCTTGCTGAGATGACAAGGTGAAGTAAGGTGAGGCGACAGGCACACTGACGCGGGGTGCCTGATCCCTGCAGCCGAGCTCCGCGCTAGAAGCTTTCTCTGGGCTCCGACTCCAACCCCCGCGGAGCTCTCTCTCTGTTTTCCCCTCACCTTTCCAATTTCTCCCATCCATCCATCCCACCCCGCGTTGACCGAGACGTGCGACACCGAACGACTGCCTAGGCCACCTCATCGCGGCAGCCTCCATCCTTGCACCAAGAAAACTGAGCCAAACTACACCCGCATACTCTGACCAAACCTCGATTTCCGAATTCTCTCAGTGGACCTAATCCAAACGTCAGACTCGCCTCGTCGCTCTCCCCCATATCACAGAAGATCACCAAACCGGAGCAGCAGAACGTCCGCCCGCCATGGCTACACAATACGAAGGTATATCAACAACCTTACTTTGCTCCCCCCCCTCAAAACTCAATCCAACAATGACTAACTCCCCCAAAACACAGTCGAGCACAACATCAAGCCCGGGCCCTCAACCCAAGACGGAACCCGCCGCATCGACATGTCCTCCTTCACCTCCTTCCTCTCCAACCTCACAACCGACTCTCACCACACCGCCGCCAGCGCAGCCGCCCACCACAACCCCCACGCGACACCGACCCCCGTAGACGCAGCAGCTCTCTACACCCTCCTCCAACAACAATTCCAAACCCTCTTCTCCACCGCGCCCAACACCCAAAACGCTGCCTTCCTCTCCTCCCTCGTCGAGGCCCTAGAATCAGACATCTCCTCCCCGCCCACCGAGATCCCCGGCGTCTCCCACGAATACCTCGACGCCCTCGACCGCGTTCCCAAAAAGACGCTCAAAGAAGACGAGGCCTGCCCCATTTGCGCCGAGAAGTTCCTCGACGACAAGTACCCGCTCGTCGTCGAGTTGCCCTGCCACAACAGTCACCGCTTCGATCTCGAGTGCGTGAGCCCTTGGTTGAGGAGCAAGGGCAGCTGTCCGATGTGTCGCAAGGATTTGACCAAGAAGAAGGAGCCTGTTGTTGTGGTGGATGATGATGAGGAGAATGATGATCCTGACGGGCTGTATGCGTAAGGCTTTCAAGGTGGGAAGGGTTGTTTGTGAGGAGAGAGAGAGAGAGGTCGAGAGAGTATTGGAATGGGAGATTTCAAGCATGGGAATTGGAAGACAGTAGGCGCGCGGAGGGTAGGAAGGAAGACAGGGGATATCTGGAATTTTGGTCGGGAGTGAGTGGTTTGGCGTTGAGGCTGCATTTGATATCCCATTGCATATTACTACGACCGAGATAAAATAAAAAAACAGAAAGAAGTAACGAGACAAAAATATACGATTGGGACAGGACGACTGATCGAGGAGTCGAACTTGGACGAATCGAAATACACAGGAGACTTCACTGCCTAACCGGGGCCTCTGCAGTCCGATTAAACCCTCGACTATATGGCCCAGATGCTTGTTGTTGAAATAGTTGGTTGAATCATCGGCTATAGAGCCCTGCGGACTATCTTGCTCGTATTCTCAGGCGTCCTGCAATAAAATGGCTCCGCCTTCAATGCCCATCGAGGTAACTTCCATGGCCTATCACCTAACACTCATCACCCACGTAGAAGGAGGTGGCTCAGAATTCGCCCTCGTAATTGCTCAATGGTCATGTAATTGAAGCCGAGACGGAACGCCAGCTCTATCCAGGTCTGATGCTGATGACACTACTTAATTCCATGCCATGCCATGCCATGCCATACTGCCATGCCATCCTCAATCAATCATACATAAAATCTCCTATAAACCCCACCACTTCGAACCTTCTCTTCCTACTCTCTCACTCTCAGTCATAACCCGACATCACGGTCCAATACCCAAGGGCAATCTCACGCCTTCCCAGCCTTCGGCGCACTCCCAGCACCACTGCTCCTCCCCCCACCACCGCCCCCCTCCTTCTCACCAGCACCCTTCCCCTTACCCTGCCCAGGGTTATCCCCCTGCGGCTTCGACGCAGCCTGATTCGCGCCAGAGACGTCGAGCGTGCCGCTGTCCTCGTTCTGCTCGCCATTGGGCCGCGTCGTCGAGGGGTCAAACGCCTCCTTCTCGTGCGCCACCTCCGTGTCGCGGCCCGTCTTGGTGCCCTCGTTAGAGGCCGGGTTCAGCGACTCGCGGTCCTGGGTGTCCTTGTACGCGAACCTCGGGGTCGAGGATGCTGTAAAGGTTCTCGTCGCGGCGGTCGTGGTAGTGGTAGGTACGGAGGTACGGAATGGCGTGCGGGCCGCTGTGCGGAGGTTGAAGGCGCGGAGAGCTTGCATGATTGTGGTTTTGGTTGTGGTTGTGGTTGTGGTTTGTTTTGTGGTTATTGGTCGAAGAGGTACGCTGTGAGCAAGATGGTACTAGCTGTATCTTTGTTGGCGCGGTATTGTGAGTTCAATTGAACAGTTCAAGTCTGTATGAGGGTAATGCCTTGTGTAGAGAGATCAACAAAGAGATTACCCCCACGACATAGAGCCGTGAAGGGAGGAGCTACCATACCTTACGTCGAGATGCTCTCATTCGGAACCATGACGTCATCCATACGTTTAGCCAGACCAGACAGGTGCGACTTTGGCCACTTGCGGATTACCCCGGATTCCCATCATTAATCATTCTTATTTTCACTACCTACTTGCGAAGCTAAGCCTTCATCCTCGGACTGCAAACCCAGCGAAAGATTGACATGCATACATCCACCGGGTGATTGGATCGGGAGCTCGTGCCAACTTAGCTCTTCAAGATGCCTCGAGATACCATAACTACCCGATAGCCTTTCTGGTGAGCTGTGAGCTCAACAGGAACCTTCTACATGTGACCTTGCACCACCAGAAAATCAACATCGGAACGGCTCAGTCACCGAAAATTGTTGCCCTGCCAAGGGGTTGAGCTTCTACGTTTGTTCGGAACGATCCAGAATCTTGCACCATCTAGCCTTTACGGCCGAGTTGACCAGATGGCGGTCTCTGGACAGCGCCACATTCGGACCTGGTCTCGACGCCACGCGATGCATGGAAGGTTTGGCTTTATCAAATCGTTTCGATTCTGGTCCAATCCGGTAGAGGATTGGCATTGGAAGAGACGCGTGTTCGTCCACTGGTAGCGGTGAAGACCTGAGGAATGGCAATTGGCCTTGCGGTCGCAAAGGCGACTTGCATCAGGTCTGTACGCCATCGAGATAGTCTGGTTGACAGAGTGCAATATTCACCACCTCGAATGTCCCTTGACGTTGGTATTAGTTGATGCTCTTTCTCCCTGGCTGTCAATGTCTGGAACCGCTAGAGATCGCATAACGTCCAATAGGATCGTCTAAGCCGTGGGTAGTGGCTGACCAAGGGGCCAAAACACCATGTTGCGATGCTGTCGTTGCTCTGCAGGTTCTTGTTGAAGGCCTGGCTGTCGGTCCCCCGTGTCTGAAGCTGTAGATCTCGGCCGAAGCGATGCCTGAGCCTAGTAGTGCTTGATTCGGTGAGTGCCTCGGGTGGCGCGGGATGGCTGCGTGACAATTCCGAAGGCAGTCAGCCAAACGGACTTACATCCTTTCAGAGATCAACGTTACCACCAATGCAAATTCCGAGACTGGGCTTTCGGGGTGCCCATTGCTTTGAGTCCATGTCCCTCACAAGGACCAAGCCACGATCGTTTGCGCCTCCCCCAGGAACGATCTTGGAAATGGCCATAAGCCGGGCCATTCAATGCAATGTTCCTCCTATTTCTCGCAAGATTTGGCACTTGGCGATAATTGACCAAACGCCCGGATGTGTGATCCCAGCTTGACAGAAATAGGAGGCGGCACAGCGCCGATGTTGGCGCGTGCAGAATGAGGTTGCACACAACGATGATTGTAGACCATTTTCAGGTTAAGCGCAACGCTGGTTGACACTACCTCATGGCACGCCATATGCGGCCTGAAATGAGACTCGTGTTTAGGATCCTGTTGGCCAATTCATCCAAAATCTGTCCGTACCATCGCGGTATATGCCGTATGCAACATGACCACCTACGTTACTTATCATGGTCGTTTGTTCTTCCGCAGCCTCGTCGTTCGGGGAGTGCTGCAGCAAGCAAAGCCGCCCGCCCCTCTGGTGCGGCGTGCCTGGCGGCCTTGTGTCTCTCGGCTGGCCGGCGAGAGCCGAGATTGTATGCGTTGTCAAATTCCGGGCCATGCAGCAACTTGACATGGTTTCCACGCTAGCCAGCCCAGCTTGAGGCCAGTTCTCAAACGGAGAAATTTCAAACAAGCATTTTAGACGGCAGTCCTACTTTTTGGTTGAATGTGAGCAGGGGGATCAAGCGTGGCACTCTGCTCTCGACACGCGACTTGTGAGGAAGGCTGACCGGCCGTGTAAATGACTGGATCTTATTCAACCGTCAAGTCCCATTTCGTGACGCTCATTGCTGTGTCTGCAGGAGCTGGCCATCCGGCGTGTGAGCACATCTGTTCCGGCTTGCCGCAATATTCAATGCAACGTCGAGGGTCGCGCGACGGACACGGGTTTGGCTGCTTTCACATGACTTCTCATATGCCATCAAGCCTTCCAAGTGTCAGTAATAGCGCCCCCGTTTCAAAAATGGAAGGTGGGCAAGCTTAAATATATTGAATACGGGGTTAGTTTAAAATGAGGCTCCTGGCAGACGCGTCGAGATGTCACAATTCGATATGACCCATGCGTGCGTCGTGCCATGGAACTCGCGGGGCGCCGTTGGCCCCTGCCTATGGGGCCTGCCAGACTAGGCGAAGGGGGCCGACTTTCGCGGCAGTATTGTTTTGGGTTTGAATGTGATCTGCGGGATCAGCAGCGTTGAGAAGCGAAGCCTGCAAAGAGAAGTCCACCGCGACGTTATTGCCGGCGGAGAGTCCTCAGGTGAGCCGCGACGGCAGAAGGTCTGCCTGGCTGCCAGCGTGTCATCAGCTGTCAATGTCGAATAAGGGGGGCCTAGGGGATCGCGTTGCGTGTTTGACACGGAGATGACCGGTGATGGATGTTCGCGGGTAGGCTCCTCCAGTTGGAACTTCTGAAACGGAACCTGCAGATTTTGGGATGATCTTTGGGGTCGGCATTGCGCATACTGCGAGACTGTGACTTCCACGCCATCCGCTGCTACCGGAGGTCTGTGTTTGTGGCATCTTTATCATTCGTGACAGCGTATATTCGAGATTTGAATCAAGAAGTACCTGTCTCTTTCGGGTTACGGCGGTTGCAAATGGTGGTTTCCTCTCTCCTTATTTTGGATATTTCGACATGTGCATGTTTGACATGCATGACGGGGCGTGGCGTTGAACGGAAAGGCTGTCTTGTTTGGTCTTTTGCTCCGACAGCGGTTACCATCGCAGTAGCATGTCGAGGCTGACGTCCCGTCTGCACAGGGTCCTATCGGGACCCGCGTGGCACAGTGGAGGACAGGCGGGAAAGAGACGAGTCGCTAATCTGGGACGGCAGGAAATCTAAGGGGCAGAATTCTTCCAGAAGGCCTCACAATGTTCCTGTTCCATGGACCACATCGGCTCAATGTCTCGGATTGATCCAGCCCTGCACTTTGTTGAAAGGGTGGGACCACCGTCCGTCAAGGGCGAAGGCGACGGGGCGCAATGTAAAGCCAAAGGGTTTGAAGAGATGCTTAAGGAATCCCTTCTCGAGTATTGGGAGGCGCAAGAAGAATGCAGCCGCCGAGGAATTTCCTCAATAAGTCGACCTGCCGCGTTTCGTGGTGGATTGCACGAATACAGACGGGTACGCACGAGCTTTAGCGTAGTGTCGGTGCCGATACGTCCCAATGAGTAGTGGTCACACAGCCAAACGCGCCGACGGGGAAAACATCTTTTGCAGGGTTGGACCGGCCCACGATGGCCGCGAGTCGTATTACTCCGTAGAATGTCGGGCCTTCCAGCCCTGAACGGGACTGGACATCGTACCTACTACGTAGTAAGATGACGCATCAGCGCGGCAAACTTGACGAAGCTCCATGATACGATATTCTGGGCCACATCGAGGCCGTAGCTGGCCGCACCGATAGTATTGACAGGTGTTGCTATGGTGGCTTGTCGTGACCAGCAGTTGTGCCTTCGTAGTCACCTCAAGTTTGCGGCAGAGCGGCCCAAGACTCCAAGCAAGATTGCGGGAGGTGGGATACGGATACGTCTGCATACATTCTTCGCACGTGGCTGGCAAGGATGCCACATTGAACTGTTGCCGCCTACATATTGACCTGTCCTGAAAGCGGCAACGCTACTATGCGCCGCCCGTTTGCAGGGCGATGCAGTTGGCTGTGGTAGCATCCGTGTTTTCTGTGTCAGCTTCTGTGGGCGTAAGAATGCGGGAATGCGCTAGTTTGACACTGGGTTTCCATGCTCTCTAGGTTGTTGGTTCCCAGCACTGCGTTTTCGTGCCAATAGTGGATCTGGCTAGATAGATTGAGGTGTTGATTTCAGCATGTTGATTCCAGCTTGTTGCTACTTGACCACAGACCCGACATCTGATGATTTGTGTCATTGCGGAGCGTGGCTGGTCCCCAATGCTCCGGTAGCTCCGCGACGCCCATGATGAATGGTACGGAATTGTTGTACATCGGAAGTTCAGAGCGACCCAAAGCTGGCCCCATCGGAAAAAACCAACATGGGAAGCTAAGGTTCCTAGGCTGGGTACCAAGATGCCCGGAAGACTCGGCCGGCTCGCTAGGCCAAGGTCCGTTCGAGACCCGGGGCGGTTCATCGGCGGTTTGCCTCGTGGCGACGGCACCTCAGTCTGAGCGGCGGGCATGGCGTGGGACGCCGCGTGCGTTATGCCTTCTTGTCGTGGCTGGGCATGGCTGCAGCTGGCAAGGCTAGCGGGCGGCGGACGATGTGCCTGCGGGCTGAAGCAAGAATTAGCTTCTCCGATGTCTGGCTAGTTCACTAAGACTTTGTCATTCTTAGGGACTTTTTGCCCCAATTCATTGTTGGCCAGACCCAGACTCAGAGACAGAGACAGAGAGCAGGACTCAGCAGTGGACGATCTAAGGTAGATGCGGGGGGGTTTTGCAGACACCGAGAGGCACTAGGGATTTGATGAAGTTGAGGCTGGCAGCTGCTGGTTCAGTTGATGCTTGAGGTCGGCTGTATGTTCGTTCGAGCTGCCCGTTTCAAGTCGAGTCTTGAGCCCAATGTTACCGAAAGAGCAACTTGAGAGTTTGGTTGAACCTCGGCGCCGACGCAGAAAAATAGAAGGACGCATCAGGGTGTGCTTGTTTGGGTACTTGTACTTCGTATCAAAGGTGTAGGTAGTCGATGTCGCGGGGTAAGGTGAATGCTCCCTTTCTGCAACTATCCGAGGAAATGATGAATAAGTCCCTAAGGTGATGTAATTGCGAGAAGACGTACCTTGCGATGAAGCACCCCAGTCAACAGCGACTGGGAAAGAAGGAACAATCAATCGTCTTACCTTCTCTTGCTCGAATTGGCCGTCAGTACGTAGATCTAGAGGAGGTACATCCACAGAGTACATCTGTACAGACGGAAGGAGCTCATGGCGGAGCGCACGCATTAGGTTCCCTCGTCGGAAGGTCCAGTCCAACTCACTCTGGCGACGGGTGCACGCTCCTCGGAAGGTCCCAGGACGCTCAAGTAAATGGACAAATCACAGCAGCCGCGGCGTCCACGATACTTTGGACCATGTGGATACTTTGGAGAACTTGCCCGTCTCAGCAGGCTTCCAGACGCCATTTCAAGTTTGCACTGGACGAGCTGCTCCTACCTAGGTACTCCTACCTTAGCCTCCTGGCAGAACCTGGTGGACAGCTCCTCCCTAATTTGCCCTCTTGTCTGCTTCGTCGCGGGCACTCCGACCGCGCCAATGAGACGTCGTCAGTCCCAGAAACACCTGAGAGCTCACGTGCAGGTATCCATCCGTAGGTACTATCGGTACTACTACGTATGTAAATACGTACCTTGCGGATATTTCCACCACCTTACACAAGCACCGTCGTAGGTATCTTCGTACTGCAACATGCAACAGCTACCTACGTCGATGAGGTACCTCACCAAACATTACCTTTCTTTTGTTACCCGCGCAGAGACCAAGGGCCGGGAAGCGCCTCTTCGGATACCCTTGAATCTATTCCAAAGACACAGAGTCGTATTCTGCTGGATTTCAGTGGACAGCCGCGTCACAAAAGCAAAATGGAAACGGCCCCAGTCATCCATTGACGACAAGGGGAAGAAACAAACGGTCGCCTGTTACAGGTTCCCATCCGATGGGCCCTTTTCCTCTCATTCGGATTTCCTTTGCTCGCGTGCTCTCTCCCGTTGACTTCACTGCCACCACCGCCGCAATGTGGCTTGAGGGAAAGCGAAATGGGATTTGCCATCTCATACCTATCCCAATTCAAAGGAGCCAAAAGTTCGAACTAAGAAAGATCCAGCGGTGACTTCATTTCCATCTTTTTGCTCGCTTCTGGAAAGCTCTTCGTCGCCTTCTCGACCAGAACCATCCGAAACCTGACGCCTCTTTGTCTCTTCTTTTCTTTCCTTCCCGGCCCCGGGCAGGATTTTGCTTTGCTTGTTTGCTGATCGCGCTTCACTTGCGGCTTGTCTAGGACCCTGGTCAGGTTCAGGCTTCCATTGACATTCTTCGCGTCTTGGGATCGGTCTGTGGCTGTTTTGTCGTTGCTTTCTTTTTCCACCAAGAGAGTCTCGGATTCTCTAATCTGGGGAACGGGCCAGTTCTCGCAAGGGCCTGTCTCTCCCCTGTCCTGTCTTGCAGTGCTACTGAGGAATGACACGGTACCATGGCATGTACTCCGTACATGCGGCGTAATGGGGGAGACTTGGGATAGAGAGACAGACATACAGTGAGAGGAAGCAACGAAGAAAAGAAAAGGGAACATTCAACATGCAGCAGGCTCAGGGTCTCTCGGTTTGCTGCAGGAGGTTGCGTTGCTTTGCGGTGTGCTAGCATCATCCCATCGTACATGCTCCCTGGCTCAGAATGAGGAGCAAACAGGAGTTTCTCGCTCTGATCTGGAGATTGGGCCTGGAAGGCTGGAGGCTGGTTCTCTTGAGATTTTGGAAGAGAGAAAGAGACGACTGAGAGACTGAACCATCTTACTCGGTCCATGATCCCTGCTTCGTTGCACAAGCCTGTCGGTTCCCACTTTCGCTCCCACTCCGACTCCCACGTCCATTCCTATTGTGTTTTCCCCCCTGCCATTCGCAAAGCAACCCGCCCACCCACCTCCCACTTTGCAATTCCAAGGCACGAATAGAACAACGTGAGAAGAGATGGAACTAAAGACTGATGTGAGGGGAGAGTGAGTCTGTGAGGTACGGTCACCAGTGGAGGTGCTCTGCCTACTATCCTGTAGCATGCATCAAAATGTACGTGGTCCGCACATGCTAACTCAGAAGGAAATTCTCAGCCGACGGGCATCGGCACGCTATTATGAACCTCGAGCAAAAAGCAAGCTTGCACTAAGCTGACCTAACCTTAGTTGACCTACATTACCGATCCGATCCTGCGTCCATCCTGGCCGGGCGTCTTTTGCGTTCCTTTGCTTTTCTTGCCATGCTTTCCATTGCCATGCAGAAGGTAGGTATCCGTAGACACGTAGTTTAGTTGGTAGTAGGGTCCCAGCGGCGGAGAAAGTAGCCTCGGCGCCGTGAGTCGAGCGACGGGAGCCCCCAAAAAGCAAAAAAAATAAAAAAAATAAATAGAAATAAAAACAAAAGTAGTACAACTTCAACAACGCCGGGAACCCAATTCCACATGGCAACGCGGACCGGCGTTGCGTCCATTTGCTCACAGACACGAGACGGGCAGAAGATATTGATCATGGTCCAAGTGGTCGCCGACACTAAAGGCCGACTCTCTCATGAATATGGCCTGATGGGCATTGCGGTACATAGTAGCGTACTATTTTTTTTTTCTTATACATCAAGAAGATTGCCGCAAATGTTCGGTCCATTGGGCAGGGCATCGGAAATGTAGCCGTGTCTCGCCCACACCTTGGGTTCGCGGCAAGCACAAGCACAAGCACAAGGCACAAAGCACGCGAGCGAGGTACCTTATCGCGGTAGATGCGGTAAGGTTATGTGGATGGCACACGTACCGTCCGGAGCGAGCTATTGTGGTGTACTTCGCTACCCATGGATTTTGCCTGGCTCTTGGCCCTGCCTTTCTTTGCCTTTGCCATTTCGTAGGTTGGGCTAGCCAGCCCGGCCTGGTCTGGCCTTCACCGCAAGGTAAGGTATGGAGTAGACACGGCACATGGAATACTGTGGGATACCATTCGTACCAGTTGTTCGTAACTTCGTACTCCGTACCCCCCCACCGGGAGTCAGTGCTTGGGGGCGGCTTTGGGATTTGTGACATGACAGCACAGGACAACGACGTGGCTGCTTTTGTTCTTTCTTTCATTCTGTCTTGTTGCCGGCGGCGGTTGAAGTTCTTCTGAGGCGAACTGAGATGGCCTAGCCTTATTGCCTTGCCCTGCCTCGTTGCCCCTGGAGTAACCAGATAAAGTTACTTGAGCGATGGAATAGGATGGGGAAGGTGTACGGATACATGATGTTGCAGACTTGTGCTTACCGCTTGTCAAGTACCTTGATTTTTGTAAAGGTAGATTCCGAGGAGAAAGTGTTGGCAAAGTATTTGCAAGTCTATGTTCTTCTTGTCTGGTTTCTCGGTCCCGTCCTAGCCAAATTGACATTCAGCCCCGGCCTCAGCGTAAGGAGGAAAAGACAAAAACTACAATGAGCCTCGTTTCTTTTCCCACTTTTTGTGTCTTTGGATCTGCTCTGCTCTGGCTTGAGTCTATTTTCTGTTTCCATGTTCTCGTCCAGTCAATACGGATTTACCTGAGAGGGATATACACGTACAATCATTACCTTCCATTGGATACACAGTCAAGACGGCATAGTACAGTATCCGGCGCACCTTTTCGCTGTGATTCTGGTACTTTGCTGTACCTTGGTTTCTGAGCCCCTGGTCTTCCCGTCTTTCTCCCACCACGCCCGTGTCGCTCGCTCGCTCTCTCTCTCTCTCTTTCTCTCTCTCTCTTTTTTGGGGGTACCCTCGACCTGGTCAGGCCTGTCCTCCCCTCTTTCCCCCCTTCCCCCCTCCCATTCATTCATTCAATCCTATCAGGTATCCTATCCCCATTGCCCCTTCCCCTCTGTATTAACCCTCCCTTCCCCTTCTGTTGCAGCAAGCAGGTCCAGACACACACTACCTACCTACCTTGCCTACTCGTACCTTACCCCGTACCTACTGGATAGCGAGGAAAGCAAAGGAAAGCAAGCATCAAGTCCAGTTCCCCCCCCTCAGACGGTCACCCTTCTTTACTTTCCATTGTGTCTGCAAGGTACCCATCGGTACTTCTTGTATTACCCTGGGTCCTGGGAAAGAAGAAGAGAGCAACTTGAGCAAGTAACAAAAAGTACGGAGTACCTCATAGAGAGTACAAGGTCCCCGATTTTGACACCGTCATTCGAGGCAACTGGCCCTCTATCCTCCCTCGCACCCCTGTCACCCCGTGCCAGCTGACTGCAACGGACTCCACTCCTATCTATCTGCCTCCATTTCTGTTGCCGGCGCTCTTTCTCTTGTCTCTCTTTCTCGCTCCTTGCCATTTTGTTCCTCTCGTTTTACGCATCCGCCCCGAATTCCCATTTACCGCTCGCCCTCCTACATCCGCGTCCTTTCCCACGTACACACGTCCACGTCCACCACCACCACCACCGCCGCCGTCGCCGTCTCTTCGTCCCAAAAATATTCACCGCCCCCAGTTTGGATCATGGTGCGCTCGAGTCGTCACATTTTCCCGTAAGATCGAATCCAGCAAGAGTGCAGACGTGAGACGACTGCACCGTCGAAATGGGCAACAGCCAGGGCAAGCCCATCGACTTGGATGGCGAAGGTATGTCTCGAACACCTCCCCTCGCTGGATTCATTGCATACATAGCACAACGACAGCGGGAAACCATCATAACCAACACCAACCACCACCTACACACACATATACACACACAAACTACACATTCGCCATCAACACCGCCGAGAGAACACATTGGCTCCCTGCTGCTGCTGTTGCTTCTGCATCTGCATTGCACCGCGCAGTCTTGTGCTCAATCTCGCCTCTTCCCTCTCCCCCCACCATCACCACCACCGCCGCCGCCATCGCTACCTCAATTGCTCCATCACCCGTTGCCAAGCTAATCATCATCCTTCCCGCCATTTAGTCAACCTCAACCATTTCCGGTTGCTGCGAGTAGTCGGTCGAGGTGCTTTTGGAAAAGTGCGCATCGTCGAGAGAAAAGACACCAATTTGTCTTTTGCCCTGAAATACATTCGGAAAGATGAAGGTACACACCGCCTCACTGCTCCCCCGCCTCGAGTGTCTACCCAACCCAAACGTGATGCACAACCTCCATTCAATGTTTACCATACTGATATCGAGCCTTATGGAAATAGTCGTACGATCCGAAAGTGTGCGGAACATCATACGAGAGCGCCGGATGCTCGAGCACGTGAACCATCCGTTCATTTGCAACTTGCGATACAGTTTCCAAGATATCGAATACATGTGGGACCAAACTCGAACCGGCTATGCTTGATGCATCCAACTGACATCAATTGTGCAGGTACCTGGTAGTCGATTTGATGAGCGGAGGTGACCTACGATTTCACATCTCGAGAAAGACCTTCACCGAAGACGCAGTGCGGTTCTGGATTGCCGAATTGGGATGTGCACTCCGCTACATTCACAGCCAAAACATTATCCATCGCGATGTGAAACCCGACAATGTCCTGCTCGATGCCGATGGACACGTGCATTTGACCGACTTTGTAAGTTTTGACGGAAACATTTCTTGGCACGCCCAAATGCTGATCGAGTCAGAACGTCGCCTCCGATATCATTCCTGGCAAGGTTTTGTCAAGCAAATCCGGTACCCTGGCCTATCTCGCTCCCGAAGTGTACGCTGGTAAGGGCTACGATGTTCGTGCGGATTGGTGGTCGTTGGGTGTGCTGTTCTACGAATGCATATACAACAAGGTGGGCCAATTTCTCTTGTGCAAAGATGCACCGCTGGCACGATGACTGACAGCTTCCCACAGAGGCCATTCGACGGCAATTCGGAGAGCACCCTAAGCCAGCAAATCCAACTCGCCAACCCGAAATACCCTATCACCTCGCCACCCGTTAGCCTGCCCTGTCTATACGCCATCCGCGATGCGTTGGACTCGAACCGTGACCAACGAATGGGTGCGACGTGGGAGAGCTTTACCAAGCACGAATTCTTCATGATGATCGATTTTGAGGCGCTGGAGCGGAAAGAGATTGAGCCGGTCTTCGTTCCGGCCGCGGATAAGACAAATTTTGATGCTACGTACGACCTTGAGGAATTGCTCTTGGAGGAGGCTCCTCTGGAAGCGCGGGCCCGACGACAGAAGCCCCGCGAGCGGTTAAAGGAGGACGCTTCAGACAAGGAGATCCGCGAAGACGAGCTTTACCGTATGATTGAAAACGACTTCCGCCCATTCGATTACACGCTGGCTGCATACAAAAAGTAAGCTTGGGAAGTTCCGAGAGGAAATGCACATGTGCTAACTGTAGCAGAATCACTGGGAAAGGTGACGAGACCGGATACGTCAATGGCGATATGGTCAACATGAACCAGCCCCAGGCGTTGACCACCGACGAGGCCACACCGGCAGCAATGGCTACGAATGGAGGAAGACCTATGCCACCCCCGGGACCATTACGGAAGAGTTCAAGCCTGGAGAGACGACCGGGCAGCAGTCAATCGGGCGTTCCCCGTCGACCAGTATCCAAGCCGCCTCCGATACCGTATTATCCCAGCGAATATTCTAATCAACGAGCGGCACCGCCAGCTGCAGGAAAGAGGGTCACCAGCCCGACAGGTGGCATGCAGGTCACGTTGGACGGTGGCGGCAGCTGGTCTGACCTCGCCCGGCAGGATGCCACGCTGCCGACAGACGCCGCCATCAACGAGGGTAAATCTGAAAGCTCGAGCGGCGTGTTTGGTTTCCTTAGGGGCAAAAAGGGAAGAGGTCACAGCCCCAAGCCGAAGGAGAGGGGAGTGTTGGGCAAAGAGGGGGCAAGACAAGTCATTGGATAGAAGACACTCGTGGTCTTGGGAAGAGTTGGAAAGACGCACAGGGAGCGGTGATGGATCGATACCCGAGGAATTCAGCAAAACACGAAGGAATCGCCGAACCACGCCTACCCGAAGACGCACTGTGAAAGGCCTGAGAAGATGACGGCTAGATCGTGGCATCCCAGCAACCGAATCCAGAGGCAGTGTGCCTACCATTGGAAGGGTTGCACTGTAGAGGTTCCATTGGGAGCAGACTGCAACGCCGAGGCGGGCAGAGGTTGCACGAGGCCGGCCCAGGTTGTTTTGCAAGAAAGACTGCGAGGCCGTCACCGACCGGGAAAGACGATGGCAGTCGGCATGCTTTTCACGACAGCTAGGATCCATTCGTCAAGGTCGTGGCCCTAGGAGATGAGAATGGAAGTTTAGGCCGGTATTTTCACCTACCTAATGGCAGAATCTAGAAGGAAGGATTCCAACGGGGCAGTAACCAATTCACGAAGCATCAGGTGGGGCGTAGTGTGGACTAGCGGAGAGAAATAGGTCAGACCATCAAGAATATACCCTTTGTAATAACAGTCTACTTCGTACATGCGTTGCGAGGGAGGCTTGCTCGTGGGTTGGTGTTGTGTTGTGTTGTGCATGAACCTCGAGCCGCCATTTTCAAAGACTGCGTGGCTGTCGCCCCATGGACCCAAAGGTCCGGAGCCTCCTTTCCTCTCTGCCAGCGTCACTCTTAGTTTAGATCCGTACCTTGAGAAGCAATGGGTGTCGTTGAGGTTTCCGGCAGCTCAAAGACGAGGGTGGATTGGATGACGTTGGACAATTGGAGCAAGTGTAGCCCCGGTCCCCGAGCTCGTCATTGGCCGTCTGCATGCTGCAACCGGTAGTCGGTCCTTGGGGGGAACTTTGCAGATCCTCCTTCTCCTTCTCCTTCTCCTCCTCCTCCTCCTCCTCCTCCTCCTCCTCCTCCTCCTCTTTGCCTCCCGCACACGACACGGCACCCCCTCTTTTTTCTCAGGTAATAAACCAAGGTTTCTTTCGGATTTCCTTTTTCTGATGGCCACGCGCAGACGGTGACAGGCCAACCCGGAGGACTGGACCTGCTGGGCCAGGACGCATGGCATCCCCACGGCAGAGTGACACTTACCCCCCCTCTTTCCCTTCTCGATGGAGGTGGCACATGGGGGGATGGGAGTCTAGAGATGGGATGCCCACGATGCGTGGATGCACGATTCACCTGTGCTTTTTTCCAAATGCCGAGGGGGTGCCGTCTTGGCGGCCGACGGGGCGGACTGTAAACCAGACTATCTACGAATACAGACTACAGGCAGGGGGGACACGCCGACGCGGTGGCACGGAGGCATGGGGGTTGGAAGGGGAGGAAGCGTCAGCTCGGTACGGTATGGTATCAGTTGCATACATATAGTAGATGATGGGTGACTTGACAGCGAGGTGCAGGGGGTTTGTTTTTGGGGGCCAGGGGCAATTGATAGATGAAAGGTGATGGTTGAGGAGAGTGGGTGGCGGTTTGGTGGTAGGAAAGGGCCCGATAGCTCCTACCTAGTTCTGTTGTACCTGAAGCTCAAGTTCCCTCATTTGAGTGAGGGCTTGTTTGATAAGATTAATAGTTTACTGTCACTGCGTTTGGTAGATGTTCAGGCAACAACCCTCGAATGCATGCTGACTTTGATACATTGTGAAGGGTGTTTTACCAGCACCCAGTTACATTTGTATAAAGTACGTTTTCTCCCTCGTTCTCCTCCTCAGGACTGCCCCAGGTGCGGGGATTTCCGTTTTCTTATCGGGCCTGGGGTACGGATATTGCCTAAGAGATAAACCCCATGCCTGCTGCCAGGCATTTACACGGATATACGTAGCGTACCACGATAGCTGCTCTTAGCGTGCGGGCGTCCCATGGACTACCGGGATACACTATCGAATATCTGAGCCAGACTTGCGAAACCCCCCCCAGGTCAACAGGCTGAGTAATTCCTCCATACGGAGTATTAGGATATAAATTTCATGGGACCAGGGCAGGCATATGGAAAGCGCAATATGCTGACCGCTAAGCAGGCCTTCCCGGCTCGGTGAGCTTACCTCTATACGATCGTTTTGATGACTGAAGCTGAGGCTGAAGCAAGAGTGGTGGCAAAGGAGAAAGAATAGGTGCTCTATATCACGGCATCCTCCGTGACTCCGAACCAGTATGCTTTGTACACCGCTCATCCATCCATATCCCTTCCGTCCTTCTTTTCCTCACCCCCTGGCCTGGCCCCTTGAATGTGATGTCTGCTTTCCCCGAGCTTTCCTGGAGATACCTACTCTCCTGCAAAGAGCGGGGGACGGGTGGGATAGAGAGGGTGGAGAGAAGGGGGATAAACCCAAAAGCACCACGTGCTGTTCTTGCCATTTTGCCTTCCTACATCACCCCATCGGACCATGACACCATTTAAACGTGCGTGCGCAACGCATGTACGGTAGCAATGGGGGCTACGCATGGTGAAAGCAGCTATCTCAACGTACCATTGTCCATCTATCCCAACTTCTTCATGCCGTCTTCTCTTGCGCGCCCTTCCCCCCGCCCCCGCAAACCTAAACCCTCTGCGGGCGAGGACGGGATGAGTGGGTGAGAGACAAGGCGAGGGGAGCTAAGTCTGAGGATGAGGCAAACCGAGAAGACATATACGGAGTAGAGGTCTTTTGCTATCTTTGCAGCTTGATCAAGGCCTCTACCCTGTCCCGCATCTTACCCGGTCGATCCAACTTCTTCGTTTCAACATCTCAAGTTTTCCGTCCCTCCAAGGACATGGCATTACATTACATACATTGATCGGATACAAGAGTCATTGCTTCCAGAAAACCCCCCATCACCGGGGGGAGATAGGGCGGAATAGAGGGGGGGGGAGCTGATGAGACGGAAAAAAGACAACAGCCACAGAATGGTCCTCGCTCACAAAGGCGGACGGGAATTTCCCAAGAAGCCCAGGTACATGACACTGAACTCGGTGACAGGGCTGGCTATACCTACCTACCTACCTACCTAGGCACGACACCTTGGGCAAGGTAGTGGCACTGGTGTTTGAACTGCCCGGGGCATCATCACCCGTCCGATGCCCTTCGGGCTTTGCTTTCTGCTTCGGTCTGCCCTTTGCCTGCCTGCCGCCATAGTGTTCCCCGAGGTCCCCTTCCATATCTTTCTTGACTTTGCCTGCCCGCCTCGATTACGCGCCCGCTCTTCGGATGCGGGCGGACGGACGGACGGGTGCCGGGTTTTGTTTTCCCCCTCGTTCCATTCGGCAGGCAAGGGCAGGCAGGCAGGCAACATACGCCGCAATGATTCGAGTTTCTTTGAAAAAGCATGGCCGGGGGTCCTGGGGGTTTGATAAGAGGCAAAGTAAGGCAGAAGGGCAGAGAAAGCATGGCTGTAAAATGCCATGTTGAACTGATACCCAACTGGTTTGTTTAACCCCCCCCCCCCCCCCCCCCCCGTCCATGATGGACAATGTACATTCATGTACCTCAAAGCTAGAGGTGCGCTGCCTGTAAGATTTTAACCCAGATTTACGACGCTGGCAGCATGTACCCCAGCTTCTCCTTCCTCTGCGGCCGGGATTAAAGATACGGTAACCCCCTTCCCGGACCACCTACTTAAGTCCCACAGCAACTCCCGGCACCTCCGTCTCTGTTCGCCCGCGTCCGAAGGCCGAGGTCCGAGCCTTGGGAGAGCTGCGAGCCTTGACAGTGTTGCGAGATTGCGCTTCAGAGCCGTGAACAGCTCAATCTCTCCACGATTCAGCATTGCACATCAACGGACGGACAGACGTACGGACTCAGTGTCGACCGCGACAGATCTCCAAACATTGAGCAAGAATCTTCCTTTTTATGTTGTTTGAAACACAACGATAGCCCTCGTCAGCAACGGTACTTTACACGGAAATATATAAACACAATGTGGAGATTCTCTTATTCGTTCGTCATTGTCGAACCAAACTAGCCGAATACTGTAGCAAAAGAATTACATCTGCAGAAAACCAAAGTTCTTTCTTGTCGAAAAAGACAGCCAATTGAGCTTGCCTGGAATTTCATCATCATAGCCTCCGTACCCATTCTCAATCTCTCTCTCTCTCGGGAGAAGTCTCCAGCCAGGTAGTGTGCAGACTGGTGTCTGCGTGGCTAACTGACCAGATCTTCCCCCGGCCATATCTAGATGTCCGATGTGGATGAATAAAACCATTCGCCTTTGCCGTTGAGGGTCAAAACTTCAGCCTCGAGTTTGCCCTTTGTTTTTGGTCCGTGATTAAACGCCTGCTTCCCCCAAAGTGTCCCATCCGTTTCCTCAGATATGCCTCCTGATGTGGCCGCCTGACCTATTGCCGGGTTCATGTATGCCAATGTACAATTAGACGTCGAGATGGTGGTCTAGGCCTTTGCCTGGTTCTTCCCCTGGTTCGAGAAGCAGGCTGCAGCATCCTTGCCCATCCACTTGTTGACGACAGTCTGGAAGTCTGTTTCGGACACCACAGGACCTTGGCCTGAACACTTGGCCTTCTTCTGCAATTCGGAGCACAGGCCGTCGAGATCGAACTCGCCAGCCTGCACACTGGGGCAGGTTTGCAGCTTCTCCCTGTAGAAACTGTCAGTGTCTAATGCGCGACTGAGAGGTAGCGGTGTATCGTACCAAATCTTGTTGCAGTTGTAGTTCTCGGCCTTGACAGCCTCCTTAACCACGTCATCATCCGCGTTCTTGGCAGCATCAATTTGGTCGATGAGATTCTTCTTGGGAGCATTAGGGCTGGGAGCCATGTTGTATGGTGTAATGAAGTCAGCATCGAGAGCGTCATTGAAGAAGCTTTCATCAAAGGTGGTGGCAGCAAGAATGTTTTCTTGCGGTTCACGGTATCCGCCAAAGAGCTGGGGATCAAACTGGCCACCGTTCTGCTGGGCGAGCCAGTCGAAATTGTTCGTGTCAATACCAGCAAACAATGACTGCTGTCCAGTTGACTCCTCGCCAATAGTAGTCATGGTATCAACAGGCTTGAAACCCATTGGTGACTGGGTAAAGGGCTCAGGGGAAGTTCCGCAAGACGAGCTGGGGCCTCCATTTGACTGAGATGACGCTGATGGTGAACTTGTGGATGTGCCGTTGTTCATGGTGTAGGAGCCAGAGTCGACGCTGGCGCGAGATGTGTTGGTGCCCATTGACCCGTTGGCAAGCGAAGGGCTGAAAAGGGATGTGAAGGTGGCGAGGTCATCCTTGGTACCAAAGTCAAGACCGGCAATAATACCAGGGCTGTTGTCCTTGGTG